AGAGAAAAGGTTAAATATGTTGAGAAAAAGACATAAAAAACACCTAAGTTGAACAAGGGTAAGAGTGACAGTGGGTGTCTCATTGGAAACAGTGTATGCCAGAAGTCAGTGGAACACCATCTATAAAGTTCTGAGAAGGAAAAACCCATAGACTCTATACCTAGTAAAAATCTCTCTCTCAAAAACAAAGGTGAAATAAAGACTTTTTCACACATACAAAGGCTGAAATAATTTATGTCCAGCAGGCAACCACTGTAAGAGACAAGAAGTGTTTCAGGTAGGAGGGAAATGATACCAGATAGAAATCTGGATCTACATGAAGGATTGGAAAGCTATGGAAGTGGTAACTAGAGTGGGTAAATATAAGACTTTCCCCCGTATTTTTAATCTCCTAAAAATTTAATTGATTGTGAGGTTTATAGCATGTAGAAGTAAAATATATGACAATAATAGCTTGAAGGCCCCAAGAGCAGAAATGGAAATACGCTTGTGGTAGGCAGAATAATGCTTCCTCCCCTCAAACATATCAGGTCCTAATCCCCGGAATCCTGTGTAAATGTTACCTTCTAAGGGAAAGCGGTCTTTACAGATGTGAGTAAGTTAAGGATCTTGAGATAGATTATGCTGGGTTGTCCAGGTGGGCCCTAAGTGCAGTCACATGTATCCTTATAAAAAGGAGGCAGAGGGGAATTTTATGCACACACGCACACATACAGGAGGTGATGTGAAGATGAAACAAAGGCAGATTTGAAGATGCTGGCCTTGAAAATTGGAGTGATGCAACCACCAGCCAAGGAATGCTGGCAGCAGCTAGAGCTGGAAGGGTCAAGGAGCCGTTTTCCCTTAGAGTCTCTGGAGGGAGCACAGCACTGCCAATACCTTGATTGTGACTCAGCGATACTGATTTTGTACTTCTGGCCTCCATGACTGAGAGACAATAAATTACTGTGTTTTAAAGCCACCCAGTTTCTAGTAAATTGTTACACAGCCACAGGAAACTAATACAATACACTGTTAGTTTCTTATGCTATATGTGAAGTGGTATAATATCACTATGCAGATTGTGATAAATTAAAGATATATGCTATAAGCAGTGAAGCAACAAGTAAAAGCACAACAGTTATAGTCAGTATACCAAAAAGGAGAGAAAATGGAATCATAAAAATACTCAAGCCAAAAGAAGGTAGAAATAGGGAAAAAGGCTTATAAAGAGCATGTGGGACAACTAGGAAAGAAATGGTACACTGGTACATTTAAACCTAGTTATATCAATAATGACATTAATTGTAAAAGATTTTTCAGAGTCGATGAAAAAGCAAGACCCAGTCTAGACTGCCTATGAGAAACCCATTTTAAATATAAAGACACAAATAGGTTAAAAGTAAAAGAGTGGAAAGAAGTTCACCATGCTAACACTAATCAGATGAAAGCTAAATGGGTTATATTAATATCAGACAAAGTGGATTCCTAATCAAAGGCTGTTACCAGGAATAGGATGGTCATTTCATAATGATAAAGGCACCAGTTCATCAGTAGACATAACAGTCCTGCGTGTTGATATACCTAAGTACAGGGTTTAAAAAATACGTGAAGCAAAACCTGATAGAACTGCAAGGAGAAATAGACAAATCCACAGTTATAGTCAGAGATTTCAACAGCCTCTCTCAAAAATTCTTAGAACGTGTAAACTTAAAATCTGGATCTAGAAGACTTGAAAACACTATCTGCCCCTGTGTCCTGATTGACAGTTATGTACGCTCCACCCAGAACAGCAGAGGACACACTCTCCTCAAGTGCTCACAGGACGTTTGCCAAGATAGACCGTATGCTGGGCCATAAAACAAGTCTTTAAATGTAAAAGGACTCAGATCATACAAAGTATGCTCTCTGACCTCAGTGTAATTAGATTGGAAGCTGTTACAGAAAGATAACCTGGAAAAGCCTCAAATATGTGGAAAACATATAACACATCTCCATGTTACCCATGGATCAAAGAAGTCAAAAGGGAAATTTAAAAGTATTTTGAACTGATTGAAATAAAAACAAAGGATTTCAAAGCTTCTGGTATGCTGCTATAGCATATTAAAGGGAAATTTATAGCACTAAATGCCTATTTTAGAAAAGAAAGGTCTCAAATCATTGCCTCAGCTTTCAACTTAGGAAACTTGAAAAAGAAGAGCAAGTGAAACCCAAATTTAGCAGAAGAATGGACATAATAAAGATAAGAATGGAACTTAGTAAAACAGAAAACAACCTATAGGAAATCAATAAAACCAAAAGCAGGTTCTTTGAGAACATCAGTAAAATTAATAAGACTGGTCAGGAAAGAAAGAGTGAAGTCACAAATTACTGATATCTGGAATGAGGGAGATGATATCAGTATATGTTGTATAGATATTAAAAGGATTATAAGAATATTGTGAATAACTTTATGCCAATTAATTTGACAACTTGGATGAAATGGAAAAGTTTCTTGAAAGACAAACTTCTAAAGCTCCCTAAAGCAGAAATAGATAACCTGATTAGCCCTATATCTATTTTATTAAATTAAAATTAAAAAAATCAAGTTTGGATTTAGTTATTGGAGCACTTCTAAGCCTAATTGGAAATGGTATATATACCTACCTTTTTTCTTTTTTGAAAGTTGAGAAATGATTGACATATAACGTGTAAGTTTGAGGTGTACAACGTGTTGGTTTGGTACATTTACATATTGCAATATGATTGCTATGCAGTGGTATGCAATGCTATGATTAGCATTAGCTAAAACCTTTATTAAATCACATAGTTATTTCTTTTTTGTGTTGAGAACAGTTAAGATCTAGTCTCCTAGTAACTTTGAAGTTTGTGATGTAGTATTATTGACTATAATCACTGCGTTGTGCATTAGATATCCAGAACTTATGTATCTGCTAGTTGCAAGTGAACCTACTTTTTCAACTGAATTTTATGAAGTCTAAATACAGATAAAGTATTTCTGATGAAAATTTTGTCTAAATTGAGATGTGCTGTAAAAAAGATTGTTGTGTATCTCAATAATTTCTTGTTTTTGATTACATGTTGAAATAATAATATTTTGAATATATTTTGTTAAATGAAATATTAAGTTAATTTAACCTGTTTTTATTTTTGATGTCTATTAGAAAATCTAAAATCACATAAGTAGCTCATATTATATTTCTGTAGACAGCACTGCTTTGAGCAGTGTGTGAATGCTATGCAAGCCTCTTATGGACCTTTCCTGCTTAATCCTTTATCCACAGCGGTACTCCACAGAGATGAGGTCTGAAATATTGCTGAGTGATGTGCTTTGTTTCTTGCTTGCATTTGTTGATCATTACTGATGTGGTCCTTGGCTTTCTCCTGGGCTCACTGCTCTTCCAACTATTGGTAGGAATTATGATGTAGAGAGAAAGGCTGAGGGAGACTCCATTTCAGGATATTTTAGATTGAGATCATGAAACAGCAATCTGATTTTGATGTTTCAAGAATTGCAGCATTATTCACGGGCTGTCTTATTGCATTGCCATACTTCACAATGCTGTGAAATTAGTTTCGTGTACGTGGCCCATCAGCTTATCTCTGTCTTGGCTATGTTTAACAAATTGGATCACGTCAGCCTAAACAGGCTCTCGATAAACATTTAAAATCCTTTACAAATATTGCATCAACTCCAGTTTTTGTAAGACTGTGATAGAGCAATAAAAACATAGCCTTACCATGAGTAAGTTGAGTCTACAGTGAAATATGATTGTACTTTAGAGCATATTGAAAGCAAGATTAAAAAGGAGTAAAACAGTTGTATTGGTATACTGATTTTCAAGGTTCCAAGAATATTGTTAAGTGTGAGTAAAAGTGACCTGCTGGCAGAGAGGCTATCTGGGGTTTGAGTATCTGAAGCAGTGTCTTTTTTTTTTCTTTTTTAAATTGAGTTAAAAAACACATAAAGCAGTATCCGTTCAAGACTTTTTAATTAAAACTTGAAAAAGATGAGATTTGTCTTGCAAGTTCAGGCTCTTCTTTTTTTTTAAGTAGACTTTTAAATTTTAGAATACGGTAGTCCCCTTATCTGTGGTTTTGCTTTCTGTGGTTTCAATTTCCCACGGTCAGTCGCAGTCTGAAAATATTAAATGGAAAATTCCAGAAATAAACAATTCATAAGTTTTAAATTGCATGCCGTTCTGAGTAGTGTGATGAAATCTTGCCCTGTCCCATTCTGTCCCACTCAGGACGTGAATCATCCCTTTGTCCAGCGGGTCCATGCTGTATAAACTACCCACCCGTTCATCACTTAGTAGCAGTCTAGGTTATCAGATTGACCTGCTGTATCACAGTGCTTGTTTTCAAGTGACCCTTATTTTACTTAATAATGACCTCAAGGCACGAGAGTAGTGATACTGGCAGTATGGATATGCCAAAGAGAGGCCGTAAAATGCTTCCTTTAAGTGAAAAGGTGAAAGAAAGCTCTCTACTTAATAAGGAAAGAAAAAATTGTATGCTGAGGTTGCTAAGAACTGTTGTAACTTTTATTATGGTATGTTGTTAAAACTGTTCTATTTTATTATTAGTTATTGTTGTTAATCTCTGTGCCAAATTTATAAATGAAACTTTATCCTAGGTATGTATGTATCGGAAAAAACATAGTCTCTATATGGTTCCGTACTATCCACAGTTTCAGGCATCATGGGGGTCTTGGAATGTATCCCCTGCAGATAAGGGGGGACTACTGTAGTTTTAGATTTACACAAAAATTACAAAGATAATATAAAGAGTTCCTGTGTACCTTACATTCGGTTAACCCAATTATTAGTGTTTTACATTACCACGGTTCATTTTTCACAATTAATGGATCAATATTGATATACTATTAACCTTAATTTTTATGTCATGTCTTTTTTCTGTTCCAGAATCCCATATAGGATACAAGATACCTCATTACATTTCGTTTTCATGTCTTAGGCTCCTCTTGGGTGTGACAGTCTCTCTTTTTTTTTACTCAGAAATTCTCCAGAATTTCAGAAACTTCTGGGCATCGCTATGGAACTTTTTCTGCTGTGCAGTGATGACGCAGAGTCAGATGTCAGGATGGTGGCTGACGAATGCCTCAACAAAGTCATAAAAGTAAGAATCCTGTGGACGGTGTTCTCCAAGCTGTAATTATTACAGACTCAGAGAGGAAACCATAATGGAGTGTTCTTTTGTTTTGAGTAGCAGAGTCCCTTAGGATGTCTGAACTTTTTTCATTCATGGTATGTGGTTTGGAGGTGCTCTGGTAGGTGCCAGTGTGCTTGCCACACCTGCTGAATCAGAAGGGACTGTGTTTACGCTTGTGCCTGTGCAGTGTGTAGGTCAGGGATGGGCACTGATGGTGGCCACTGGGTGCTCTTGGGGAGAATGTCACTACAGGCACCAACTTTTGATTGGCAAAGCCCAGAGAAACCCTCAGACTCTGAGAAGACAGAGGAATGGGTGAATAGAATCTGTCTTTGGTGTCTCTAGCCTCCTTTCTTTCATTTCCTTTCCCTGTTCCTCCTAAGACCTGGGTCAGGCAGTACTATTTGCAGGTGAAGACGTGAGTTCTATAGTAGATTAGCTGGACTTAGTGTGACGTAACTGGGGAGAAAGGAGTTCCCAGAAAAGAATGGTAAAGCCGGAAAGCCAAAGCCCCTTGGATGATAAGTGAGGTAAGGAGAGAGAAGGGTATACTTGTCTTCTGTTATGGCTCGCTTATGTAGTTTGTGCCCACGATCACCATAGCTTTCATCTACTGTTCCCTTTTTCTGTTTTCTGCTGCCATTGAGGATAAAGTCCTTCTTCCATAATTCTTGATGTATTGAAAAGCTATCCTTGTTTTTCTCATTCTGCCCCTTTCCTGGTGTGCATCCCCAACCCATCCTGGTCACCTTCTAGGCCACCTTTGAGTTTATGAACAGGCCTTTTGAATTGCGTGTCCAACTTTAGATATTCCCACTGTAGGCTAGCCAGCACCAAGGAAGGTTCTCTGATGTAGTTCTTGACACTTTCTCCAAAAACCATTTCTTGATAATGGTTGTGGAGAAAATGTACCTTACTTTCTCCTCTGCAGGGATCCTTGTTTATTGGATCTTTCCAGTCTTTCTTATTTTTCTCCACTGCTTTAAGTTCTACCCCTGAAATTTTGATAACGCTTTGAGAAGAGGCTGCATCTTCATTTTCCTTGAAGGCTCTCTTTCTAATAATATTTACTTGCCTAGATCAGCCAACAACTCCAACCTAACATAGGTTAGTTGACTAATTCCCTTCTCGTTAGGATTTTGAGAAACAAAATTGTTCTTTGGAGTCTTCCCAAGGCCTTTCTCTGGAGAGTGGTCACATTTTACATTGGCCAAGAAATTATCCTTCCTTTTTCCTTCGTGGGTCCAGCCTTCCTCAGGCAGATGATCACCCCTTTACTCCTGTGTTTAAGGCGATTGAGGCCTCATTTCCCCGTGGATGTACGTAGATTTTGGAGTGAAAGAGACCTGCATTTGAATCTTGCCTCTGCCCTCTACTATCTGGACAACTTTGGGGAATGTATTTGATTTTATGAGCCTTCACTATAAAGGCAATCAGACAAGGTTTTGGCAGTGTGTGTCAGTGCTTGTATGTGTGAGGATCAAATGCAGTTATGTTCAAGATGTGCTTGGCATCATCCTGGCCACTTGCTGGTCCCCAGAGTGGTAAGACGTATTCTTATTGGTAATGAGATTCTTACATTCTTACCCAAAGAGATTGAGGGGCATGCGAGAGCACCAGCCGCTCTCCATTTTCCGTCCTGTGGATTGCATGGTCTCCTGTTGCTCAAGGAGTCCGTCCCGTCTGGCAGCAGATCGTTTCTTGGCGAGTCATGCTTTCTGTGCTCAGGATGCTGGCTTCCCTGTGGCCACGGGACTCTAGCTCCCTCAGTCAGGAGCAGCCTTTGGGAGATCCCTCTTTCATCTCGTGGTAGGCACCTGGTCTTCTTTCACCTGCGTTTCATGCTTTTGCTTTCATCCCCCCTCCCAATATGATATAATGGCCAGTGGTCGTTTAACCTTATTCTCTATGCCAGATGGTCCATTGTGACATTCACATGTGCATGGGGTCCCACAGCGTACTTGCAGATATTTTTCAGTTACACTTACTTCTCTCCAGCACTAAATATCCTTGTTGCTTTTATTATTCCAATTGGCAGGACCAGGCTGGGCTTTTTCTGACATTTCAGTTCTCGAATTTTGACCCTTAGAATCAGAAAACCTAAAGAGGGCACCACATGTTACCTTGGTTCATGGCAAGAGAGGAATTAAGGAGGGCAGAAAGAACAGAGTGATCCCAAACTGCTCCGATTGGTCATTTTACACATAGGCGTTGTTCTGTTTTTAAGCCTGTCGTCTTCAGAAACCTGTTTCCAAGAACTGCTGGGCAGAATAGCTTGGTGTATATTTGGGAATTGTGGGCCGTGACCCTGGGTCGTAACTTTAGGTCCTGGGTTCTCTTCCTGGCCATTTCCCTATTTCTTCCCTTTTCCTGTTCTTTGTTTCTAGTCTCCCAGTGCAGAGATTCCAGCTTCTCATGTTATGCCCCTGAACATGGGATGAGGTCAGTCTCTCTAAACCTCCTCTTTCTCCTTAAAGTTGGGCATCACGGGGTTTGGCTGTGCTCAAATTTCTGCTTCCTCAAATGCTCTAGACTCAGGTTCAGCAGGCTGGGAGTGAGATCAGGGTCTGGCCAGATTTGTTCTCATTGTGGCAGAGGAAGGACATGTTTGGGAGAATGTGGATGGCCCTAGGCCAGGGTTGGGCAGGAACACAGGAGGAGTCCCTTAGGAGTCAGGTTCCAGACTTTAGTTTTCTAATGAGTATTGTTATATGCTTATGATAAGGACCAGACTCTATATGACCCAAGAAAATGGAGCACATTTTGCTTTTCATTTATGCAGGAAAATGCACTGGGGATCTGCTTCAGCCTGACAGCATGCCCCTGCCCTCAAGTATTTTACGTCTTGGGGAGGAAGCATGTTTATACTGAAATAACTTAATGCGTAGTATAAACTCTAAGTTCTGAGAGATGTTGACAACTCATCACGGCAGTCAGGAGGCTGAGATGATTTCTGATGAGGGAGGCAGAAAAGGCTTCCTCGAGGCGGTGGCTAGTAGGTGAGCGTGGAGATTCGGGACCTTCTTAACCACTGCAGCATCCTGCCTCTAGGGGGCACCAGGAAACCTCCACAGGCTCACAGAGGAGGGTGGCCCCGGTGTGTGCTGCCAGAGAATGGGAGGTGTCGAGGGTGAGTTCAAGGGGTTCGTACTTTACTTGGTAGAGAATGAGGAGTTCTTGAAGATTTTTGATGTGGTCTGATGAGTGCTTTATTTAGGAAGAGTAACATGGTGACAACGTGTAGCCTGCCTTAGAGGCTGAGTAGTCCAGGGAAGAGAGTGGAGTCTAGAACTAGGATGGTGGCATTGGGAATGCCCCTGAGGAGACAGCTGAGCGCGTGCCTGCTTCAGTGTGGAGGTGGGTTCAGCAGCAAGGAGGGATCAGATGGTATATTACCATCACCCAGTGGCTGTGAGAGCTGATGTTGTGCTATTGTTAGGGGTTTGAGGTTTGGTTTTTCTCTTGTTATAAAATGTTTGATATTAGTTTATAAAACAAAATAAAACTTTAATATGTCTCCTAGTTTTATTTGCAAAGTAGCGTGGGTTTCTTTTCCTCTTTTTTTAAAGGAAGCCAGAGGTCCAGTCTCCCCTCCATGTTGAAATACCCAGACCCCTGTCCTCACACCCCTCCTGCCTGGGTCATCTTCACTATGGGAATACTTTATCATGGAGGTCTGGGGCTCTGGCTGTTCCCACCACTTCTGGCCAGTCTCTCTTTTGTTTTAAAGATTGGCACCTGACCTAACATCTGTTGCCAATGTTTGTTTTTTCTTTTTCTCCCCAAAGTCCTCCAGTACATAGTTGTATATTCTAGTTGTAAGTCCTTCTGGTTGTGCTATGTGGGATGCTGCCTTAGCATGGCCTGATGAGTGGTGCCATGTCTGTGCCCAGGGTCTGAGCCAGCAAAACCCTGGGCCACTGAGGCAGAGGGTGCAAACTTAACCACTTAGCCACTTGGCCGGCCTCTGCAAAGTAGTGTTTTAACATATGTTTGTCCATTTTGGTTTGCTCCGTTAAGGATTTTTAGTACAAACTGAAACAACAGAATTAGGATTTAAAAATTTCTGAGACATTATCATACTTCAGAACCTCCCAAAGTGTGATTCTGCTTTTGATTTTCAAGCTCACTGAACCAGTAGGTGACCTCACATGAGTTTACTAAGACCAGTTTGGTTTGTAGACATCAGATGCTGTATATCACATGAAAGAAGGAGGGCTTTTCTGTTGAGGCTTGTTTACATCTTTCCTTCCTCTCTTCTTGGTGGACAAGACATTGGCAATACCCTTTCAGAAGAGAGGGTTCCTACAGGTGAGAGTAGGGCACAGAAGTTTTTCCTCTCCCTTCCTTCCATCTTGAGAAGCCCTCTCTAACATGAACTTTGTGTTGCCATCAGCCATTCTTATGGGGTTGAAGTTGGCCACATGGCCACTTGTTTTGGTTTGGCCCATAACTGACCAGGGAGGGGACGAGAAATGTGCTGTGAGGAGCGTGAGGCTCCCAACTGCCACTGGGTTCAGAGGGTCAGTGGGGCCGTGGGGCTAGGAGCATCTGTGCATCAAGGGAGGACCAGACCTTCAGAAAGGACGTGGGCTTCTGCATCAAGAGGTGTGTTCCTAGAGCGAGAGGCTCTCGTCTTAAAGTACACCCACTGCTTCCCTGGCACTGCAGACTGGAGGGCATTGCTAATGTTGGATCATTCAACAGAGTGTACTTCAATGAAGAAAGAAACTTTTCAGGTTATTCTTTTACTCATTGAATATTAAAGATTTAATATAAGAACTGTAGATTTGATTTGAACCATCTACCATTTAAGTTTGTTATTGTGTAGTATTTGATTGTAATAAAAGTTTAATTCTTTTCCCAACATTTTTTTATTCAAGTGAATGACCTGTATTTAGTTTATTCAGTAACTTCCTGCATATATATGCTCCTTTCTTAATGAATAGGTTCTTAGTTTAGTTGCTATTATATTCTACTTTGCCCCCAAATTGGCATTTTAGTTGCCTTTTAGTTTTCTTTAGAACTGCTAGTGGAATGTGTCTTCCATGAACAAATCTCTTGTGTTTTGTTGTAGGCTTTGATGGATTCTAATCTTCCAAGGTTACAGTTAGAACTCTATAAGGAAATTAAAAAGGTAGGCCTTTATTTTACATTATTGAAAAAATGGTACTGTTTCACTGTATTGAGCAGTATATGTGAAATTTTATCTTTTATTTTATAAGTAAAAATGTTAGAAGGAAATGCTGTTTGGTAAAATGGACTGTTGTTTCACTTTTCTTCATAAGGTCATTCTTCATTATTTATTAGATGAGATGGGAATTAAAAGTGGTAATTTATTTTTTGTATCTTTATCACTCAAGTCCACTAGACTTTAAAATTTCTCAAGTAGATGTGCACTTGAGTGGTCTTTTCTCTGAAAATAGAAATTAACAGTAAAAAAATGCTTTCGTTCATATGAAGTCCTCTTGGTAACTACTGTCTGTGACTGAAATATAACATGCCACTCATTAAATCCACTCAGAACGGTGCTCCTCGGAGCCTGCGTGCTGCCCTGTGGAGGTTTGCTGAGCTGGCTCACCTAGTTCGGCCTCAGAAATGCAGGTAAATTGTACGCTCTGGATTATTATGAGAATTTTTTTTGGTGGAGGACTAGCTCCTATGGACTCTTTACATCTCTCAGCTCAGATGTCACTTCTTCAGGGGTCTTCCCTGTCTGCCCTGTCTCAAGTTGCCCGCCTTTGCCCCTCCAAATTGCAGTTGATGTTGTCCTGTTTATTTTTTCTTTGTAGCACCTATTCCTTTCAGAGGTATTCTCAACGCACTTTATCAGTGTACTTGTTGCCACCCTCCCCCAAGAGACATGGGAGATGTACGGCCCAGGACAGCAGAGTCTTCCCTGTCTGTTCCCTGCTGCAGCCCAACACCGATAACGGTGTCTGCAGATGGTAGTCGCTGACGGGATACTTGTCAAATGCTCTAAGATTGAGTACCAACCTCATTATCGCTTCCAGGAATTATAGAAAAATATGCCTTGTTTATTACATGGGTTAAAAGTATGAATGTTAAACTATGAATAAAGTTTTGAGTAGTTGAAACAGTTCTATCTTAATGGGTTAAAAAACAAAAGGACCACAATTTTCAACTCCTTCCTTCTCTCCTAACAAGCAAAATGTTCTGATGTCCACAGACCCTTAGCTCTGTCCTTGGGGATCTGGTGGAGTGGCCAAAACCCTCACTATTAATATGAGACAATGATTTATTCCACTGAGTTTGATTTTAATAAGAATCTTATATGGCTGTAGAGATACAATCAATAAGGAAATTTCTTTTTATAAAACTTTTTTTTTTTACTATCCTTATTTTGAAAAATTTGTAATATTTCTAAAACAACACATCCGAAGTTCTCCACACAGCAGCCAAAGTTGACCTTAAAAAAATGTGATTGGGTCATGTTGTTCCCTTACTTAAACTCTGCTCATTTCCCAGAGCTGTTCAGATAAAACCCAGACTTCACACCGAGGCGCAGGGAGATCTTGTCCCCAGGGGCCCCCATCACCTCAGACACTTTCTCTTGACTCATTGGCCTGATTTTACTTCTTCAGAAAATCAGATTCTCTTCCTCCTGATGGCTGGTTTGGTTTCTTCCCTCAGGTCTCAGCAAAAACTTCATGTCCTTGGAGAGGCTGGCCTAGCCTCCCTAATGTGATCCCAGCTGTAGACCCACTTGTTGCCCATCTCTGCCACTAGAGGGCGCCTGCCACCTTCGCCAGGTGTTGGCTCAGGGAATGCCCATGGTGTTGGCCTCTGTCCTGTGACTCGCTTCTCTCTGGTCCTACATGCTCTGCTTTTTCTCTCTGGAGGGCCAAGTCTTAGCTCTAAGGCTTTATTTAATTTGAACACCTTAAAAACTTTTTTGTAATGCTCCATTTTCAAAAAAGCCTTATTCTCACCTCTTGACTTTTATTTCCTAGGTGGTATTTTCGTATATTATCTATTATTTTCTAATTTAAAATGAGTATTTACTAACTGTTATAACTTACTGTAAATAATTTTCAAAACAAGCTTTTTGGAATCCTCTGTGATTATAAGAGAAATGAAGTGTGTCTCCCAAAGTTTGAACTTCATCTGCATTTATCCTGTTCTTTTAGCTAAGGTTTGTCCACATTCCATTAAGAGCTGTATAGCATTTAAAAACTGGCTTTTCCCTAACAGGTACTAAACTAATTGCTTATATTTCTCATTAAATTCATTTTAATTTATGTCCTTTGCACATATGCAGGCCTTACTTGGTAAACCTTTTGCCTTGCCTGACTCGAACAAGCAAAAGACCTGAGGAATCTGTTCAGGAGACCTTGGCTACAGCTATACCCAAAATTATGGCTTCTTTTGGGAATTTTGCAAATGACAATGAAATTAAGGTATGATTGTTACTTCAAGTCACAAACATGAGAAAGAATGTTGTGGGGAGTTAGGTTTTGGGGACAGGTGGTCATTTGAGAGTACTTGTTGACTTGTGTTATGCTTCATAATTTGGATTAAAATCTGTTATTTTGTAGCACACCAAGAGCTTCTTTCCACTTGTGCTTTCTTACTGTGGGGTGAAAAGTTGAATAGGGGGGTGGTTTATAGATGCAAATTCCAAAGGCATTGTTTGAGATTGATTTTTAGTGTATAGATTGACTCTTAACCTAGTTGAGAGAAGGCGACTGTCCTGGGACGGCAGGTGGGAGAGGACTCACTGCTGGCACCTTGTGGGCGCTGCAGCTGCTGGGGCCGCTGGACTTCCTCTTTGTCCTCGCCCCAGTAAGCGGCCTTTACACTCGCTTTAGTGTTTTGTGTATAATGTCCAGAAATTGTGGCCCTGAGTATTACAGATTCTGGATCTCTTCCTTTTTGTGGGTCAGTCCTGTATTAGTATTTCTTTTGATATTTCTCTCCACATTTCTAAATAACATGCTTACACTGCTAGTTTTGGATCTTTTGATTTTTTACTGTGGAAGAAGTGAATTTAGCTCTGACCCTTCTCCTATCTTTTCGCTATAGTTATATATCAGTGTTCAGTGTGTACATTCTTATGCCGAAGTAAATAAGTCACAGCTAGTTGTGTTCTGTGCTATGATTATCTTTCTTTGTACAACTTTTTGGGTTTTTGGAGTTAATAATTGCTTCTTTTCCACTTGCTTATTATTCTTTGGCCGTTTATGTCTTCTTGCACCTTCCAGTAGCTTTGTAAAATGTGTGTCAATACAATTTTCGACATGACAGATAATTTATTGGATCCATTTCCTCCAGCAGAGTCATCTGTCTTAGAATTCTCTAGCTGTCTGCTCCAGCCTGGTCAGGATGCTCTCTATGTCTCTTGCACAGTGGTATCTAAGCACTTTTCTTTGCTGTCACCCTGGGAATTCCTGTTGCTGCTCTCCTGTTGGTGCCCAGTTCCTGGATGCCATGTCTTTGTCTTTCTAGGCTCACTCCCTTGTTTTGATGAAACACACCCTCTAGCAGCTTCCTGAGAAAGCAGGACTGGGGGTAAATTGTTTGAGATTTTGCATTCGTAAAGGTGCTTCCAGTCCTCCCTCACACTTGGCTGGGTATAGAGCTCTGGGTTGGAAATCATCTTCCTTCAGGACTGTAAAGGCTTTGTTTCTCTGATAGTCTTCAGGGTGGTGATCGAGAAGACCTCCTTCCTTAGCCTCTGAATGTGTCCTTCTCTGGAAGCTTTTTATTGTTTGGTATGGGGAGGAGTGCTGGGTGCTTGGTAGCCTTTAACTTGGAACGTTTGTCCTTCACCTCTGGGAAGTGTCTTTATGTGTCTTTGACCAGCTGCCCATCTTTGTTTTCTCTGAAATTCATTAGTTAGGTGTTGGACCTCCTAGACTGATGCACATTTGTGTTATCTTTTTTTTTTTAAATAAAAATTGGTCCTGAGCTAACGTCTGTTGCCAATTTTTTTTCTTCTTTCCCCTAAAGCCCCCTGGTACATAGTTGTATATTCTAGTTGTAGGTCCTTCTAGTTGTGCTGTGTAGACACCGCCTCACTAAGGCTTGATGCGTGGTGCTAGATCTGCACCCAGGATCCGAACCGGTGAGACCTGGGCCGCCGAAGCGGAGCATGTGAACCTAACCACTCGGCCACGTGGCTGGCCCCTGTGTTATCTTTTATTTCTATTTTCCTTTTTTTTGTCCCCTACTTTCTAGGAGATGTCCTTGTCAAACCGTTCTGTTGAATTTTTGTTCCTGCTCCTGTGTTAATTTCTTTTTTTTGTTTTGCTTTTTCACCCCAAATCCCCCCAGTACACAGCTGTGTATTTTTTATTTGTGGGTCCTTCTAGTTGTGGCCTGTCAGGTGCTGCCTCAACATGGCCTGATGAGCGGTGCCATGTCTGCGCCCAGGATCCCAACCTGCGAAACCCTGGGCCACTGAAGCAGAGTGTGTGAACTTAACCACTCTGCCATGGGGCCAGCCCCTGTGTTTTTAATTTCTAAGAGCTCTTTCTTGTGTTCAGAATGCTCATGTTTTCTGACATCCTCTTCTTGTTTCATGAATGCACTCTTATCTTTCTGAGGATATTATATTTTCTTGACAACTTCCTTTGACCTCTGCATTGTCTGTTTCTTCTGATTTCCTCTGTTCTGTTTGTTCTGGTCTTTCTCTTTTATGTGAGCAGTTGTCCACGTAGATTTGAATGAGACCCTAAAAAGCTTATTGAAAGCAATCGTGTGGCATGGTTTGTCCCCTGGTGGGCTTCCCGAGGTGATGGATGGTGAGCCTGCTTTTCCACTGTGGATCTTTAAATGTCAGTATAAGTAAGTCTTTTCCTCTTGAGCCAGTCAATATCCCTAGAGAAAAATTCTTCAATCTCCTGCTTGGGGCCATAAGCCTGGCTGTATTTGTCCTGGGACCCTGGGGTGGAAGGGGGTTAACAGCCTCACTGGTCAGAATTCAGACTTTTTCTTAATTTCTCTGTTGTCTCTCTGTGCCTCATGGCTGTCCTCAGCTGTGCCAGCATCTCTGGAGATTATGCCCCAGTCTTTGCAGGGGACGGAGAAGGGAAGGCCATGTCCTGGGCCACCTGGATGGGAGGGGAGACTTGGGGTTCAGTAGTTGGTCGTTTGCACAAGGAGCAGTTAGACAAGCAGCTGTTTCATCCCTGCAGTCACTCCACTTTCAGATGTCTCTGGCGCCTGCCAAGCCTAAGATTTTCTTGGAGTTCTGTGGCTTGAGTGAGCTTGCTTTTTGTTGGTGGCCTTCAGACCTCCTCCCCTAACTCCCAAAAAAGCTTGCATGTGAACTTCAGTTACTGTGATTCAGTCAGTTACCACTTGTTTACTTTCTAGCATCCAAAATTTGTTGATGCCTCTAGTCTGCTGGTGTTCCTGTCCTGTTCTTCTTGTCCTTGTAAGCTTATGTTTGTTAGAACTTGTGCACCTGATTCTGGTGGAGTATCTGGGTAGCCGAGATTTGCATGTCCAATCCAGGCTGCTTGATCAGGAGTCTCCTTACCTCTGGTGTCCTCTCCTCCTCCAGATACCTGCCAGAGACTGAGAATATGAGGTTTTTATTTTACTCACATGTAATATATATACGGGACAGTACATAAATCATAGGTGAATCATCACAAAGTGAACTTACCCTGTAACCACCACCCAGGTCTAGAAATAGAATATAACCAGCATCCCAGGAGCCCCCTTGTACTCTCTCCCTGTCACTGCTCCCTGCTTCCTCCTCAAAGGTAATCACTGACGTGGCTTCTAATGCCATGGAGTCTGTTTTTAAATTCTATACAAGTCGAAGTGTATAAGTATGTTTTCTTTCTGTCTATTTTCTGTTTTTGTTCAATGTTAAGTTTGTGAGTTTTTTTCATGTGTTTGTGTGTATTAGTACTTTGTGCAGTTTTTATAGCTGCCTAGCGGTTCTGTTGTATGAATATGCCACAGTGTATCACTTTACCGTACCTGGACATTGGATTGTTTGTAGTTTTAAGCTATTGTGAAGGGTGCTGCCGTATCTGTTCTTGTACATGTCTTTTGGAGCACAGTTACGGCTTTATGTTGTGGATATCTGCAAGTGGATTTGCTGGGCTACAGGGTGTGTGTATTTCAACTTCGGTAGATACTGTCAAGCAGCTCTCCTAAGTGGCCGTACTACCATCAGTGGTGCGCAAGAATTCCAGCAGCTCTGCATCCTCACTAACGTCAGGATTGTTGGTCCTTTTGAGTTTAGCCATTCTGATGAGTAGATTCTGGCATCACATTTTAATTTCCATTTCCATTCCCTAAAGTGCTTTTCACTCTAAAGTTGAATGATTTTTGCATCTTTTCCCTTTTGAAGTACTCTTAAAAATATGTCATCATGTGTGTTTTGAAAAGTGGAGCTATCTGACCTAAAATCTAGCGCCCTTCCTCATTGTGAGAAGACCTTTTAAGCGTGGTCTAGGTACCTCTGCCAACTGCCTTTCTACGAGGCATTCTCAGGATTGTGGGATTTGACCTGAGAAGACCCCCTCAAGCTCTCAAACTCAATTTTATTATTTATTATTCCAAAATATTTAAGTTCACCAGGGGCTGACTTCATAATAAGGTTTAGCTTTCATTGTGCTTATAAATTTAGACTAATATAGAATGATTCTTAATTTACTATTTCAATGATGTATATGTGTGTATTTTCACTCAAGATTGTTCTTTAATATGCCAGTATCTTTTCCTGGAGCTAAAAAAATTTGTCAGATTTAACCCAGTTGACTTGGTTGTCTGAGTGGTATCTCAGGGGAGAAACTGGAGGCTCTGGGGGTGTCCTCTGGCCAGGGGTCTGGTTCTTTGCCTCTCTGGTTTCAGAGATTTAATCTGTAAATTTGCTGAGAGTTGATGAGCCTCTGAGAAGCAGTTTATGCTAAGCACACTCTTGAGGAGAAGCTTATTGATGTCAGGTACTAACCAGTCTGTAATTTGCTGCTTGTTTGCCTATGGTCCTACCTCCAGTAGTGAGACCCTATTGAAGTCCCTGACTCAGTCAGTAATGCTCAGTGCATGCCACACAATGACTGGAACCAAGTTGTTGCTCAGAGCATAGTTTAGAATAATGGAAAATGGATGTTCTTAAGTAATATGGTCACCAAACTCATGCAGCTAGATGGTCACCCTTTTTCATTCTTGGGATATTTTTGTTAGGACCTAAATGGCAACAGTTAGAATTATAGCACTCCCTTCTTCGGGTTGTCCTGTAGGTGCAGTGGTAAAGTCTTATTGTCTAACTTTTTAGGAAAACACTTGTGGGCAGTATGCTGTCACAGTGCAGTTAAGTTGCAAGCTATCCGTTAGGCCAAGACATTGCTGTAGTTGGCTAATATTCTTTTCTCCTTGACCTCATTATTTGTTGACTTTTTTTTACTACCTTTATTTTAAATAGTGTCTTTTATTGACCCTGTCCCCAAATACTGTGAGTACACCTTTGCTAGAAGCTGAGGCTTTCACTGTTGCATAGAGGATGTAGATGCTGAGCAAGTCCCTACTTGCAGCTTGTAAGGGAGTAAATAGACTACACATTTGCAGACTGTTCTGAAATATCCCAAATTTAGGTGCTTCCATTCAGCTATAGGAAAGTCTCAAATTATTTATAATTTATACTGTATAAGAATTTGGGGCAAATTAAGTTTTTGAAATACATGATAAGCTTCATAGGCATTTCACCATCTGTCTGCTTGGATTTTTGCTTCCCTAGGTTCTGTTAAAGGCTTTCATAGCAAATCTGAAGTCAAGCTCCCCTACCATTCGGCGGACAGCAGCTGGCTCAGCAGTGAGCATCTGTCAGCACTCAAGAAGGACGCAGTATTTTTATACCTGGCTACTAAATGTACTCTTAGGTAAGATGCAGGCAATATTAGTGATTTTCCCCATGGTATGGTGGAGTCTCTAGCATTTACTTGAATGCTTTGAAATTCTTTAAAATCGGACAGTCCCTCAGCTTCCGGACCAGGCCTCTGGCACTGGCTGACTGGTAAGTGGGGACTAGGAGCCCATGTGGGTCTGTGTGAGGATTAGGAAAAGTCTCCTCATCCTTTGTGCTGAAGTACAGGTGCTGCCATGCCCAAGGACATCTAGCTGGGCTGTGGGTATGGGCCAGTTTGCAGCTCCACCCTCCTTCCTGGGCTTGGCCCTCTATGAGCCAAACTGCACAGCCGTACGTGGTAGCTCTTGAGTGCAGTGAGGCCCTGAGGCTTGAAGGTCCCTGCATGTTTTCTGTATAGGTGTAGGTCTGCTAACAATTCCTTCTGTACTTGGGGTAATTGTGGAAATCATCACTCGCAAGTACTGAAGAGAGCATATGGACATTTGATGTGAAAGAACTGCCCGACTTCAAATGCAATAAAACTCACTGTCAAGGGCCTTGCTAAGCTAAGGATTTAGAGGTCTTCCTTAATGTTACTCCTGGATTTTGGCCAAACAATGAGATACACTGTATATTTTTTCACAGTAATGTTTGTGCCATCTTTATCCCTCACTGCCAGCCTCATAAGGTTCTACTGTGGATCTCTTTTTAACAATGTAGACATGAATCTCCAAGCAGTGAATCAGATGTTAAGAAATCTTGTTGCTGCCTTTGTAGGTTTGCTAGTTCCTGTCGAGGATGAACACTCCACCCTCCTGATTCTTGGAGTGCTGCTCACATTGCGGTATTTGGTGCCATTGCTACAGCAGCAGGTCAAGGACACAAGCCTGAAAGGCAGCTTTGGGGTGACACGGAAAGAAATGGAAGTCTCTCCCTCGACAGAGCAGCTTGTCCAGGTAGCAACCACGTGGTTTACTCAGTACCTATACATAAATGACTGACATTTAGTGAATCAAATAATTTGCAAGAGAAGTGGTGAAACCGAGGGTTAAGAGCTAAACCTCCTGGTTCAGGTCCTAGCTCATGACTCCTAATTATGTGACCTCCATATGGCAGTGATGTGAGAGTAAAAGGAAGGTAATCTCTTATAATGTTACCAAGAATGTTACAGAAACCGCTTAACCCCTGCCTGTCACAGAGAACACTGTTGCCCCATTTCTAAAACCGGGGCTCATGAAATCTGTTCATCGTGCAGTGAATATTTATTGAGCACCCACTACGTTCTAGGCACTGGGAGAGGTGCTGGGGGTACAATGGTGAGCATTTCGGATGCAGTGGTCTGGTACTGTAGTCTACACACCCAGAGAGGTGGGAACATGGTCCATTGGGGTGGAGGAATAAAATGTTACAACTTCTCTTTCCTATGCAGAGAAACCCTGCAATAATTCTCATGCACAGTCATGTGCTGCATAATAATGTTTTGGTCAACGACAGACTGCATATACGATGGTGGTCTCATAAGATTAGTACCATGTAGCCTAGGTGTGTAGTAGGCTATACCATCTAGGTTTGTGTAAGGACAGTCTGTGGTGTTTGCACAACAATGAAATCACCTAACAATGCATTTCTCAGAACACATCTCTGTGATTGGGTGACACATGACTGTCATGTGATTGGCAGTTGATTTCAGTTCTTTGCAGTGAGTTCACCCAGGTTATTTTGTCAACCTTGTAACAATGCAGCTGCATTTTAAGCAATTGGATTTTGTGAACTTTATTTGAAATGTTATGTTAGGGGCTGGCCTGGTGGTGTAGTGGTTAAGTTCCCTCACTCTGCTTCAACAGCCAGCGTTCGTGGGTTTGGATCCTGGGTGCAGACCTACACACCACTCAATGAGCCACGCTGTGGCAGCAGTCCTCATACAAAAAGTAGAGGAAGATTGGCACAGATGTTGGCTCAGCAACAATCTTCCTCAAGCGAAAAGAGGAAAATTGGCAACAGATGTTAGCTCAGGGCCGATCTTCCTCACACACACACACACACACACACACACACACACAAAAGTTATGTTAGGTTCATACCATATTTAATGTACTGGATGCTATTGAAGCCCTTACCCTTTCTATAAGTTAAATAGTTACATGGCATATACAGGAGTCGAGGCACACGACCCGGCATCTTGAGAGGGGTGCCTTGACTCAGTTGTCTGCTTTCAGTATATTGGTGATACTGTAGTTTGTAGGTGCTTGAGTCAACTGGATTTATCAGTTGTGTCTTTTGCCTAAATTTTTTACGGTACAAAATTGTAAGTGGCTTAAAATGATTTCTGCATAGAAATCATGAATTAAAGATAGTCCTAATGATTTAAGCATTGAGTTAGGTACTATTTGTAAAGTACTTAGAATCCTTCCTGGCACATGGTCAGGCCCTGTGAGTACTGGTTAATGATAAATAACTGAGAAGTGGGCTCTAAGTAAATGTCAGGCCAACAGTTCTACCCTGACCAGCTGCCTTTCAGCTTTCTTACAGAATACAAGCTATGACAGTCTCATGAGATATGACACTTCATATTAATTATATTGCCCTCACAAAAAAATCATTACTGAATGATTTAGTGCATATAAAAGATGTTATAGTGGTAATAAATACATTAAAAAATAGTTTACTTCATCCTTACCTTGTTTGTGTACTTTTTATTATGGAGATTTCCAGACATAGACAAAAGTAGACAGAATAGCTTAGTGAACCCCTTCAGTAATTATCACCTGCGTCAGTAATTATCCATTTAGGGTCAGTCGTGCTTCACTTATAATCCCACTTCCTTCTCCCTCTTTTGTATTATTTCGAAGCAAATCCTAACCATCCTGTTATTTCATGTATGTATTTTAGTAGGTATCCTTATAGATGAGGACTCTTTGTTTTTGGAACTTAACGACAATGCTATTGTCACACCTAAACAAATAAACATTTCCTTAACATCAAATACATACTTATCTGCTGTCAATTTTTTTCTCCACTCTTTTGGAATCAGTATCCAAATAGGATTGGTTGATAAGGATTGGGAGTCTCCTTGATCTGATGGTTCCCTTCCATCCCTGTTTTTCCCTGAGAGTTCATTTGTTGAAGAAACAGATTGTTTGTCCTGTGCAACTCCTGGCGGTCCTATTACTTGCCTCTCCATTGTGTAAATTAACATGTTTCTTTGTTTTCTGTATTTCCTGTAAATCAATAACTGGAGCCAGAGGCTTGTCAGATTCAGTGCATATTTGAGAATGTACATAATATCTGAGTTCAGTAGTACTTATATAATATTTTAAGACAAATATTATGTAAGTATTGGGACTGTATACTCAGTTTTTTTCTGATGTTTTAAAAAAAAGCCTGCTTAGTCGAAAAGATTTGGGGTCCATTAGTCTAGTGGAAGAAGCGAGCAAACAGTCACTAAATAGCATGTAAGGTGGGGGTGCAGGGTGCTATGGGAGCACATAATGCCCCCTGTATGTCCAGGGCAGGGAGGCCTGCTGGGGGAGCTCAGTTATGAGCTCGTGTTTGTGGGTGAGGAAGTTTTGACCAGGCACATGGAGTTGGGAGAAGAGAGTTTTATAGACAGAAACTACAAGCTTTGCCAAGCCCAAGGAGTAAGAGCATGCAGCTCTCTGTCAGGGTCTCCAGGCTTTCTCGTAGTTTAGCCGGGGTGCTGGTAACAGATAAGGCTAGAGGGCTATTGAGAGCTGTCTTAGACCAGGACAGCAGTTATCCTGGGCGCATGGGGTCCAGGGGTATTGGATGTGGTGCTTAATTCAGTGCTGATTTTCTTAACAGTCACTTTTCTCTAAAGTGATTAAATCATATAGCTTGTTGTTGAATTAGCAAGCTAGAGAAGATTATCTCTAAATCATATCTTAATCCATTTTCTTTTGACTAATAGCCATTCTGAATTAAGTTATTTTGATTATGAAGTTCAACTCAGCTAATAGAGTTTGGCTAACTGTATTTAAATATTTTGGATATTAACCCCTTATCTCATATATGGTTTGCAAATATCTTCTCTCAGTTGTTAGGTTTTCTTTTCATTTTGTTTATGGTTTCCTTTGCTGTGCAGAAGCTTTTTAGTTTGATGTAGTCCCATTTGTTCATTTTTTTCTTTTGTTTCCCTTGCCTAGTCAGACATGGGACTTGAAAATGTGCTGCTTAGACTGGTGTCAAAGAGAGTACTGCCTGTGTTTTCTTCTAGAAGTTTCATGGTTTCGGGTCTTACATTCAAGTCTTTAATCCATTTTGAGTTGATTTTTGTGCATGGTGTAAGGGAATGGTCTACTTTCATTCTTTTGCATGTGGCCGTCCAGTTTTCCCAACACCATTTATTGAAGAGACTCTCCTTTCTCCATCATATGCTCTTGGCTCCCTTGTCGAATGTTAGCTGTCCATAAATGTGTGGGTTTACTTCTGGGCTCTCAATTCTGTTCCCTTGATCTGTGTGTCTCTTTTGGTGCCACTACCATGCTGTTTTGGTTACTTTGGCTTTGTAGTATATGTTGAAATCAGGGATTGTGATGCCTCCAGCTTTGTTCTTTTTTCTCAGGAATCCTTTGGCTATTCGGGGTCTTTTGTTGTTCCATATAAATTTTAGGATTCTTTGTTCTATTTCTGTGAAAAAGTGTTGTTGGAACTTTGATAGGGATTGTGGTGAATCTATAGATTGCTTTAGGAAGTATGGACATTTTAACAATGTTAATTCTTCAAATCCAAGAGCATGGAATATCTTTCCATTTCTTTGTGTCTTCTTCGAGTTCCTTCAACAATGTTTTATAGTTTTCGGTGTACAGATCTTTCACCTCTTTGGTTAAGTTTATTCCTAGGTATTTTATTCTTTTTGTTGCAATTGTAAATGGGATTGTATTCTTAATTTCTCTTTCTGCTACTTTGTTGTTAGTGTATAGAAACACAACCGATTTTTGCACGTTTTGTATCCTGTGACTTGACTGTATTCCTTTATTGTTTCTAAAAGTTTTTTAGTGGAATCTTTAGGGTTTTCTAGATATAAAATTGTGTCATCTGCAAACAGTGACAGTTTCACTTCTTCTTTTCCAATGTGGATCCCTTTTATTTCTTTTTCTTGCCTGATTGCTCTGGCTAGGACTTCCAATACTATGTTAAATAAGAGTGGTGACAGTGGGCATCCTTGTCTGGTTCCTGTTCTTAGAGGGATAGCTTTCAGTTTTTCTCCATTGAGAATGATATTTGCTGTGGGTTTGTCATATATGGCCTTTATTATGTTGAGATATTTTCCTTCTATACCTATTTTATTTAGAGTTTTTATCATAAATGGATGCTGTATCTTGTCAAATGCCTTCTCTGCATCTATTGAGATGATCATGTGATTTTTATTCTTCATTTTGATAATGTGGTGTATATCACGTTGATAAATTTGCAGATGTTGAACCATCCCTGCATCCCTGGAATGAAACCCACTTGATCATGATGTATGATCTTTTTAATGTATTGTTGTATTCGATATGCTAGTATTTTGATGAGGATTTTTGCATCAATGTTCATCAGTGATACTGGCCTGTAATTTTCTTTTTTTGTGTTGTCCTTGTCTGGTTTTGGTATCAGGATAATGTTTGCTTCGTAGAATGGGTTACGAAGCCTCCCCTCCTCTTCAATTTTTTGGAAGAGTTTGAGAAGGATAGGTATTAAGTCTTCTTTGAATGTTTGGTAGAATTCACCAGGGAAACCATCTGGTCCTGGACTTTTATTTTTTGGGAGGTTTTTGATAAAATGATCCTGGGTCTGGCTAAACTATTAAGGAGTATGGGCAAAATATAGATACTTTTAGATATACAAGAACTCAGTTCGTTTTTCATGTATGCTTTTTGAAAAAATTATTTGAAGATGTATTCCAGGAAAACGAGAAATAGATTAGAAAAAAAAGGAAGCCCCGAAGTTCAAGAAACAAAGCACCTAACCCAGAAATGTGGTAGAAGCCATTCCAAGGTGATTGTTGTGCAATGTGCCTTTCCCCTTAGACACAGGAAGTCAGAGGACCTTCAAGGAGCTCTCTGCAACAGATGTCAGGATTCAGAAGCTGGGCAAGAGGGAAGGGGTGTGTGTGTGTGTATTACAAGGAGAAGATAAAAGGCAATTAGCAACTCCAGGAAAACCAGGAGGGTTTATCACAGCCACTTATGATCCAATCATGAAGCAAATTAAAATGTAGAATAATTTTAAGCAAGTAATAGATCATGGTAACAGAGAATCCATTTAATTATTATCTCTGGGATATCTTTGAAGTGACACAGGTCTGTTAATGAAATATTTCTTTCTTTTTGGGTCTAGTCACATTAATAGGCTTTGCAGTGAATAATGTTTATGTACACATGATAAGATACTTTTTTTTAATTCAGTTTTTAGGCTCAACTTCTAGGCAAAGTACATAAGATTTAAATAGTTACTTAGTAGTATATGAACAGTATAAATCTTAATAATATGAAAGTAATGGTGTTGCTAACAGAATTTGGGAAGGGGCAGATGAAGAGAAGGGAGTGTGGGGTGTTGATTTCCTCATTTTACACAGTAAGGAGTCAAGAGATCCTTTGGTCAATATAGGTGGCTTCAGAAATCAAGGTGTCAGCTGATGATCTAGAGCAGGGCAGCAGGCTTTTCTCTAAGGGGCCGACTACTCAGCTCCTCCGCTGGAGCAGGAAAGCAGCCACAGATGCTACACAGGCGTGGCTACGTCCCGGGAAAACTTGGTGTACAGAAACAGGTGGCGCCCAGAGCTGGCCTGTGGACTGCAGTCTGCAGACCTGTGACCTAGAGTTACGGAGGTTACCGTCAGAAGAGCTGAAACAAATGATTAAAAGTAGCTACCTCTGAGACTTTTACTGTTCTTCTTTATATTCTTCTATACTGTCTGGTTTTTACACATGTTTGTTACTTTTATGATATTGAAGGGCTACCCGACTTACTGTGCAAAAGACGAAGTGCCAATTAAGTTTGAATTCCAGATGAATTATGAGTAAGGTTGTGGTGTAAGTATGCCCCAAATTGCATGGGACGTAGTTATACTACAAAATTATTTGTTGTTTATCTGAAATTCACATTTAACTTGGTGCTCTTCTGGTATTTTATCTGGCAACTCTAATTAAGGGGAAAAAGAATAAATTCGTTATGTGCCTATGGTATGATATTGTATTAAGAGCACTAATAAATTTTTGACATAATGTCTTTAAAATTTTTGACAACTCTGTCAGTGGCCCTCATGCCAGTGTTTCTTGCTTATTACTATGTGTCAAACTAACTACACTCTCAGTGTATATTGAGCTTAACTGGTCACCTGGTTAGGGAGATGGAGATCTTAATTAGCATGCTTCTACTTTTGTGGAAGTACCCTATTTATTTATTTTTTGAGGAAGATTAGACCTGAGCTAACATCTGCTGCCAATCCTCCTCTTTTTGCTGAGGAAGACTGGCCCTGAGCTAACATCCGGGCCCATCTTTCTCCACCTCCCATGTGGGATGCCTGCTACAGTATGGCTTGCCAAGCAGTGTGCTGGTCCACACCCGGGATCCGAACTGGCGACCCTCAGGCCCCCGAAGCAGAACGTGCGAGCTTAACTGCTGTGCCACTGGGCCGGCCCCCCCTATTTATTTTTAAGGAGTTAATTTAACAGTGAAAGAAATCATGGGAATTTAGAAAACAAGATGGAAGCTAATGATCCCTCTGGGAGAAATTATAGAGACATTTTTAGGGGGAAGAAATTATGGCACAAATTTTGCCAACATAAGACTATCAGAAACAAAAAAAGTAAAACCTAGGACACGTAAAAACTGTGGCAATAACACTGGTTTATCTCTTTCAAGGTTTACGAATTGACCTTGCGTTATACTCAGCACCAAGACCACAATGTGGTGACTGGAGCATTAGAACTCCTGCAGCAGCTCTTCAGAACCCCTCCTCCGGAGCTCCTGCAAGCTCTGACCACGGCAGGTGGCCTTGGGCGGCTCGCTGCGGCTAAAGATGAGCCCAGTTGCCGAAGTCGTAGCGGGAGTATTGTGGAACTTATAGGTAAGTTATTAGGAAGGCTGATTCTTACAATTAACCCCGCACTAAAATACTAGTTACGCTCTGTTGAATTATGGGCTCAGCGCTGTGCTAAGCAACTTAGATCTCAGTTCCTTACAAAATCTTACAGTGCAGAAGCCGCCCTTATTCTACAAACAGAATAACTAAGTGTAGAAAGCTTAGGTGGCAAAATGAGGCCAACACTTAATGCTCGGCCTCCTGACTCTCTCTGACTTGGCTGCTTCCACATGACATTTCATCCATCATGAAATGCAAACCTTAGGGAAAGTATTTCTAGGAGGACCTCTTTGCCAGTGACGGGATCTTCAAGTCTTTGTAGGGACTTTAGAGTTCCTTTCTGTCCTCTGGGTCCTTTTTGCTGTCCTCGCTGACTTGAGAAAACCCCTTCCCTTTCTCCTGTCTCGGCACCTTCTCTGTTCCATCTGCTTTGTGCTCTCGAGGATTGGGCCCGTGTCCCACAAGGGGACGCTTCCCTGCAGAGTGACCCCTGGTTTTCCTCCATCCTCAGTGGGCCCTGTCTGATGTGGAGTTGCCCCTCGGGAGCTGGAATGGGGGGGATCCCTGAAGTGCATCCTCTAGAACTGGGGCCTGCCCAGAGGAGGCCTCTTCTATCTAGGCCCTGCAGTCTGTGGTCGATTGAGTACAGCATGGGTGGGGCATGGCCTCTGCTCACAGCGCAGCAGACTGGAGAGTATGCCTGGAGGGCTGATTGCTGCCTGGTTTGAACGTAAATGTTTGCCTGAACTGTTAGCAGAAAATGTTAATATGCCTGTTTACTGTCCTCTCTGCTGATAATCCTTTTCTCTGTGGGATGCATGCCTTACAAATAATTACTGCAAATACTCATTTCTAATGATTGCTTCTAATGAAAATTTATACTTGATTATCAGTTGACCAATAATCTGAGATTTCTAACGTTTTTAATTTGGCTTCTTAAATGCGCTTTATTTTATCTCTTTTGACATTTTAGTTCTTATCTTTAGAAATCTGTATTTCAGTGTTAATGTAATTTTCACGTTTTTGAAATTGAAGTGTTAACAGTATGGTGTTTTAGCACCACCTGTGGAAATATGTTCACATATTCTCTAGTTTTAAAGTTAAATCAAACTTTTTGAAGATTTTCGAATTCATTCTAAATTTTAGCAGCTAATTGCCTTACTTTCATCTGTCATTTTCTGTGATTTACAGCCGGAGGGGGTTCTTCATGCAGCCCTGTCCTTTCAAGAAAACAAAAAGGTGATTATTTCAGAAGTCGAAGTCTTATGTTAATCTTACTGCTTTCTCTGTATTTCTGGAACACTGTCGACTGTGTCTGTGCCTCTTCTCAGCACAGTGATTGTACGTAGTATAAATGTTGCTGGAATCTGATAACTAGGCCTGAATAGTTCTGTGGGGTGGATTTTAAAAATTGATTGTGTATCAGAATTGCTTTGTCATAAGTTTCTAATGCTTTAGACCAGGGGTCAGCAAACTTTCCTGTAAAGGGCCAGATGGTACATATATTAGCCTTGTGGGCCTTACTGTCTCTTGGAACTCTTCAGCTCTGTCCTGTGGCAGGAAGGCAGCCATAGACAATACTAGGCTAACGGATGTGGCCAAGTTACAGTGAAACTATTTACAGAACTATTTACAGTAGTTTGCCTACTCCTGCTTTAGGGAATTTGTTATATTTTATAAAGGTAGCATCTTCCCAGTCAGTTTTGTTTAGTATTAGGAATAATGTTTATTTAAGTATTTTGTTGCATTTGGCCTGGTTATCACTTTTCAGCCATATTTAGCTTTGTATATGCTAAAATGTTCTGATGCGCTTAATTTATTTTAATTAAATTGAAGTGTTTCTGATATAATATGATAATTTTGTTATACATTATCACTTTGCAACACCACCCATTTTCTTTTCCAGTCTAGATTTCCATAGGAAAGAGTTGATATCATTTTCTATTTGGAATCTTAAGAGACTAATCTTTTTTGTGTGTCATGATTTGAGTGTTTGAGAGCCTGATGCGTAATATTATTTGCAGTTGAATGGGATCTTAACAGGAATAATATTCTAGCCTTGACTGAATTAATAAATGTTTCCTAGAAGAACTTGTAATCAGTAATTTTTGGGCCATCCTAGTGTGGGATACTTAACCAAGTTTGAGATTTTGGTGAAACACTGAGATTGTTTGAAAGCCAAAAGGATTCTAGGGAAAGCTAGTGTCTCTCTTCTTGAATTAGGAAAGATTTCAAGCCTGTGGCTAAGTTAGTCTGGTACTTGCCTCCTTTGTTTCTTAGTTGCTCTGCCCAGTGATGATGAAAAAGGTGACTAATTCACGTGATTAAGATGAGTTCTTTTGTCATCTTCTAGCTAGGACACGGGAGATGTCCTCAATCTCTTTTTTGTTGTTCTTCTTCTCCCCAAAGCCCCCTGGTACATAGCTGTATATTCCAGTTGTGAGTGCCTCTGGTTGTGCTATGTGGGACGCCGCCTCAGCACGGCTTGATGAGCGGTGCCACGTCTGCGCCCAGGATCTGAACCAGCAAAACCCCGGGCCGCCGAAGCAGAGTGAATGAACTTAACCACTCAGCCCCGGGGCTGGCCCCTCAATCTCTTTTTTATTTTTCCAATGTTTTTTTTTTTTTTCTCTCGTTTAAAGCTACGGTTTTCAAACTTTTTTGTTGTACTCGCAAAATTCCTTTTTTCAAGTGGAATCTGCCAGTATATAAGAAAGATAAAAGCAGAGTGGTTGGATGTAGGATCAGGGTCAGGGTGAGGGGAGTGGTGGCCTGGGGTTCCTTCTCTGGCAGCAGCTGGCCCTTCCCCCTCCTTGGGGAGGGCTCCATGGAAGAGATTTGCAAACTATGAGTTGCAAGGAGGAGACTGCTTTCATTAACACATGAATTCACAGGTTGGAATTTTATTTGCTTTCTCAAGGTAAATCACTTTTTCTGTAATAAAGGACCCTATTATTTAGTAGATAAGCCAAATGGTGTGTTGATTTCATCTAGATTTGGGGTTTCCTTTTCTTTTTCTTTTTTGCCTTTACTGTCACATCAGTATAGATTTATGGAAGTTATCACAGCTGTGACCTATTCTTTGAAAAGCAGTGAAATTAGAAATTGCCAATAAGAATTTTGCTAGTGTCATTTAATGACATTTGTATCTAATGTTACCGTAACGATTTAATGAGTCCAGTTAAATCAAGTTAAGACTTTTGTTTTCTTTTTTTCTTAAAATAAAGTTTGGGAACAGGAACTGTAAAATGTGTTTTTTTTTGAGAAAGATTAGCCCTGAGCTAACATCCATTCTCATCTTCCTCTACTTTATATGTGGGATGCCTGCCACAGCATGGCTTGATAAGTGGTGCATAGGTCCATTCCTGGGAGCCGAACAGGTGAACCCCGGGCCACCAAAGCGGAGCGCACGAACTTAACCACTACACCACCAGGCTGGCCCCTGTAAAATGCATTTTTAGAATTTTGCAGAAGATGAAATGTTCCATCCTCCCAGATCATACAGTGCTTGAGTTTTGATTGTCAACCCTAGAATCTAGCAAATTAAAAGATAATACAATAATAGTGACTTTTAGATATAAACATTTTAGGGCTGGCCCAGTGGCTCAGCGATTAAGTGCGCATGTTCCACTTCAGGGGCCCGGTGTTCGCTGGTTTGGATCCCGGCTGTGGACATGGCACCACTTGGCAAAGCTGTGCTGTGGTAGGCGTCCCACATATAGAGGACGATGGGCGTGAATGTTATCTCAAGGCCAGTCTTCCTCAGCAAAAAGAGGAGGATTGGCAGCAGATGTTAGCTCAGGGCTAATCTTCCTAAAAAAAAAAAAAAAGCAAAAACAGTTTTATGTATAAATTCTGAGGTGCCATTGGAGATGTGAAATGAGTAGCCCAAGGACTAACAGAATTGGCTCCAGCCATAACTTGCCATTTTTAAGATTAAATAATTAATTAATAATTAATTAAGTAATATGAATTATTTAATATTACCAGTAGTATAAATCAATAAATATTTATTAATTATTAAAATACTTTTTGGTACAGTTTGAGAATCATTGCTTTTAACCTTTTTTCCATATAGGTTTATTGATTTTAGTAATGCTCTAAGTATAATATTGCTACATTCTTTGTGTTTAGCACCCTAGAGGTTTAAAAATACTTACATATAGTGATAAACTGTATGGGGGGGTGAATTAAATCTGCTTATGAATGTCTGCTTAGAATGTGCATTTATTTGATTTTCAAAGTCCTTCCTTTTAGCAAGCTTAAGGGACTCTCCTGCCATCATTTTCTAGGGAAAGTGCTCTTGGGAGAAGCAGCAGCCTTGGAGGAGGACTCTGAGTCAAGGTCTGACAGCAGCAGCCCAGCCTTTGCAGGTAGCTCTCATGAGTGGCAGTGGTGTCCACCTTCCTCCTCTCTACTGGCCCCCACCGCTGCCCCTCCCCTGCACCTCAGTGGATGTACCTCCTGGTGGGTAGCGGTGAAGCCAACTTGCTCAAATGGTGGCTAATCCAGGCTTCTTTTATAATGTTTACTTTGAAACAGGTGTGTGTTTTCTTGCATCAAATATTTGCTGTTTTCTTTGGTTTGGGCTGTTTTAAAATTAGATTTAGTCCCTGCACATAAGTCTTTTTGAGTAAGGGATGGTGGGTAAAGTGTCTCATGAAGTGAGTTGGATGGCTCGTGATGGGGAGAATGGGATTGAAAATTGTCATGGATAGGAGCCAAGCCTGGTGGTGCAGCGGTTAAGTTCGCATACTCTACTTTGGCGGCCCGGGGTTCGCTGGTTCGGATCCCGAGTGTGGACCTACATTCTGCTTATCAAGCTATGCTGTGGCAGGTGTCCCACATATAAAGTAGAGGAAGATGGGCATGGATGTTAGCTCAGGGCCAATCTTCCTCATCAAAAAAAAGGAGGATTGGCAGTGGATGTTAGCTCAGGGCTAATCTTCCTCAAAAAAAAAAAATTGTCATGGATAATTTAACTTGAAAGAATTTGTTTGTTTACATTTGTTTGTTACCTAATTAGATTCTCAGTTCGCCTTATAAAAGATGAGTGTTGACTAAGACGCTAATAAATGGATTAAAGGAGACTGGTTTGGGTTGTATAATCCTATCCAAAAGAATATTTTTAGATAACTGAAAATAAGGCTCAAATATTTGGGAAGGAAATTCTGAATAATTCTAGTGGCAATTATTTGTTTATTTTACAAAATAGAAATCAGTTTTTTCCACATTAAAAAAAGTTAAAACAACAAAAAACTACATTTATCCAGAACATTGTGCAGCTTAAGTGCTCACTGACCCAGTGGCCTCCAGGAGTGACATTGCTAACAGCTTGATGTTGATCTTTTTGTTAATTGGTTTGTGTGTAGTGTTTATTTATTTACTTATTTAAAAAATTGGCACCTGAGCTAACATCTGCTGCCAATCTTCTTCCTTTTTTCTCTTCTTCTTCTCCCCAAAGCCCCTCAGTACATAGTTGTATATTCTAGATGTAGGTCCTTCTCGTTCTGCTATGTGGGACGCCACCTCACCATGGCCTGATGAGCGATGCCATGTCTGCGCCCAGGATCTGAACTGGTGAAACCCTGGGCTACCAAAGCAGATCTTGTGAACTTAACCACTCGGCCACGGGGCCAGCCCCTCTTGTTTTTTTAAATGGGAATTTAAAAACTAAACTAGGGGGGCCGGCGCCGTGGCCGAGTGGTTAAAGTTCTGTGCGTTCCACTTTGGAGGCCTGGCTTTGTAGGTTCAAATCCCAGGTGTACACCTACTCCATTCCTCAGCCATGCTGTGAAGGCGTCCCACATACAAAGTGGAGGAAGACTGGCACAGATGTTAGCTCAGGGCCAGTCTTCCTCAAGCAAAAAAAAAAAGAGGAAGATTGGAAACCAATGTTAGCTCAAGGTGAATATTCCTCACCAAAAAACGAAAAACTAGGAAAATGTGGTGCAGATTTATATTGCAGGAGAATAGAACTGGATTAGAGGTCTTGAATAGGATCTTGGAAGAAGAAAGCCTACATCAAAGAGACGGTGAATTTACTATTTTCTGAGCACTGCTTGCCTCAAGCACCCAGGCATTTGTGTGCGCCCAGCCTGCTGCACCTGACCAGGCTGCTTGTGGTTGCCAGGCAGTCTCTCTCTGTGGCTCCAAGCTAAGGTTAGAGCAGTTACTTAAGAACTTGAAGTTGCTTAAGAACCAGTAACGTGGCTGGCCATATTTCAGTTTTTTGCAGTGAAATACCTTTTGAGAATATTCCTAGTATTTAAAAAATACCTGCTGCTGATCTTTATTTTATTAATATGTAGGAATATAGTAAAAGGTAAGTAGATAATACAGGAAAAGGCAGTTTTAGTAACATTTGGAGGATGCAGTGTTGTCTTTTGAAATTTACTAGTTCATATTTTCACTGTGTTTCAGGATTTTTTGCAGTTAAAACATTTGGAGACAGTGCGTTTGAGGGTATTTTGCAAATATGTTATTCTCTATTGAATGTTTTTCCTGCCCATTGAGGAATGAGTGTTTCTTTGTCTCCAGCCTCAGTCAAGGGTGAGATTGGTGGTGAGCTGGCTGCCTCTTCAGGGGTCTCCACTCCTGGCTCTGCTAGCTCAGCCGCTGACTCTGCGGGTCACGACATTATCACCGAGCAGCCCCGGTCACAGCATACACTGCAGCCAGACTCAGTGGATCTGACTGGCTGTGACTTGACGAGCGCTGCCACCGATGGGGATGAGGAGGACATCTTGAGCCACAGCTCCAGCCAGATCAGCGCTGTCCCGTCTGATCCTGCCATGGACTTGAATGATGGGACGCAGGCATCCTCGCCCATCAGTGACAGCTCACAAACCACCACTGAAGGGCCGGATTCGGCCGTGACCCCTTCGGACAGTTCTGAAATTGTAAGTGGGCAGAGGGGGTCGCTGGTTTCTGAAGAGAGACCTGTCGTATGTCCGAGCTCTTCCCTGTAGGCCCATACCTGGACCCTCCTACTTATTCCTCTCCTCCTGTCTGATCCACTCATAGCAGTGCAGAGGTCACCAGCTCAGATCGTGAATGGAGAGCTCAACCCCATCTGACACCTTCACTGAAGGAAGTGGCAGAGTGTCATTTGTGTTGAACACGGAGGTCAAAAATTAGTTGATGATATGAACTCTGCTAAAATAGAGTGCATTTTCAATTCTTTAAGACCTTTTTGGGCACAGATTAAATCATTATTTTAAAAAGTCCGTGAGGAGCCTGACATTAACAATGTGATTAATAACATTAATACTGTGCATTAACACTTTTTGCCTTTTAAAAAACTTTTACAGCGTATCCCATCTTATAGAGCATGGACTTAAGTACCTCTGATCTCTGAATTAGTGGACAAGAAACACCTCAAGGATAGTCTAATCAAAAAGTTTGGTACAAGTGTATACTGAGTTTCACATCCCAATTTCATTTGAATAGTTTGTGCATTAAGTGTTTTGCTACTATTGAATGTATTTTATTAAGAACATGGTTTTGTTTTTTTTACTTGAACAAATACAGAAACATTGAGTTACCAATCCCAAGGTAAAGCACTTGCATGTCCCCTTTGGCAGTTGTCAAATTGTCACATGGATGTGGTTTCTAATGGCGTGTGGATTTACACTTACTCTGTTGGAGAAGTGAGCTCACGGTTAGGGTTTTAACTGGAAGACCTGGAGGAGGATGGGACAAATGACTGAAACAGTGGGAAGTGATTTCAAGTAAGGAAAGGGCAGACAGGCTCTAACCAGCGTGCAGGGAGAAGAGAAGGTGGGGAAGCTCTGGGCTCAGTAGTGTGTCAAGTGTGCGGAGGGAATGTCTGCATTCTTTATTGCACCAACTTCCATGGGACATCTGGCCTCTTCGTAGTAGATGAGTTCTGGACAGACTTGTTAGAAATAGGAATGAATGACCATAGGAATTATGAAAATTTCCTTCTTTGGGAGTGTTTCAGCAGGTGTTTACTGTGTGATAGTGCTGGGAGTGGGGCCTATGTAGACTTCTCTGGGGCTTAACTAAATGTCTTCCCTTGCTATTTCTCACACTGGTCTAGTTCTTTCTAGTTTATAAGGTGCTTCCATGTGCTATAGTCTTTAATTTTTTGCTGAACAAATGTATTGAGCACCTATTATATTCTGGGGATTGTTCTACAAGCTGGAGATAAAGTAGAGGGCACAACAAACAAAACTACTCTCATGAAGCTAATATTCTAGAGTAGGTATCATCGAACTCTTTCCATATAGGGCCAGATAGTAAATATCTTTGGTTTTGTGAGCCATACAGCCTGTGTTGCACACTTATCTCTGCTGTTGTAGTGTGAAAGCAGCCATAGACAATATGTTAATGAATGAGCATGACTGTGTTCCAGTAAAACGTTATTTACAAAAACAGGTGGTGGCCAGTTTTTGGCCCACAGGTTGTAGTTTACCTACCCCTGTTCTAGAGTGTGTGCGTGTGTGGGGGGCAGATGATAAGCTAATGATCAATCAACAAGTAAAGAAATACATGGGCAGATGGTGATAAATGCCATAGAGAAGAATAAGCAGAGTGAAGGGGATAGGGAATTGTCTCATGAGACAGCTCAGTGTGGTAGTTATGTGGCTTGGCTCAGGGGTAGCCCACCAGGATGAGAATTCTGGCTCTGCTGTTTACTAGCTGTGTAGCCTGGAGTAGTTATGTCCCTTCTTGCCTCAGTCTTCTTTTCTGTAAAATGAGGGTGATAACAGTACTTACACTGTAAGACTTATGAAGATTAAGGGTGATAATACACGTAAAGTGCTTTTGATCCTGCCTAGTGTATAGTAAGGTATTCCTAATATGGTGCAACTTTTCATTTTAACCTTTTTTTTTTTTGTAACTACAGCAAGGTTTTTTGGCAAACTAATCTGGAGGGTGGAGAATGGACGAAATCATTTCTTTCTTGATTGTTTTGGTCATGTAACTTAATTTTTTAATTGTAAGGATTTGGAAAGATTTTTAAAAATGATATAGAATTTATTTCAACTAATTTACTAGCATACTGAGGGTTCATCACTCAGGTGTTTAGGGTAAATTACATGGGATTTGAAGTGGTTGTGAAAAATTTTGCAATATAGAATCAAACACAAGTTTATGGCTAAATATATGAAATACTGTGTTCAAAACTGAGTTGGAGGGGCTGGCCTGGTGTTTCAGTGGTTAAGTTCGCACGTTCCACTTTGGTGGCCTAGGCTTCAATGGTTCTGATCCTGGGTGTGGACCTGTGCACCATTTATCAGGCCAGGCTGTGGCAGGCATCCACATGAAAAATGGAGGAAGATGGGCACAGATGTTAGCTCAGGGCCAGTCTTCCTCAGCACCTAAAGAGGACGATTGGCGGTGGATGTTAGCTCAGGGCTAATCTTCCTCAAAAAAGACAACTGAGTTGGTTCAGTCCTAGCAGTTTAGGAGATAACCTGTTATGTTGTTAGATTTTTGTCTAAAAGATTTTCCTCATTTTTGACTTACTGTAAAATTTCCTTGTGAAGACAGAGGTTTTTGTTTGGATTTTTTTAATCAAAAAGAGAAATTTCCAGATTGGAATTTCTTTGGAATTTTTAAAGTTATAAAAGCTTTTTATAATGTAGTAGTAATGTGTGATCAAAAACTCTTGGTTATTTATACGCATGCCTTTCTGTGCATGTGAGGAAATGACCTTTGTGGTGGACCTTTGTGTTAGGATGTGAGATGTAGTTCCTGTTATTTGTGGCCTTTGCCTTTCTGTGTTGAGGGGCTTGTCCCTGGGCAGTCACACTCAGAATTCTCACAGCCTCTCTCGAATCTTTTAGGTGTTAGATGGTCCTGATGGCCAGTATTCGGGGATGCAGATCGGACAGCCGCGGGACGAGGGTGAGGAGGCCGCAGGTCTTCTTCCCGATGAAGACGTGGATGCTTTCACAGACTCCGCAGTTGGTATGTTGACTTCAGGCCACATACTATGGAATGGTCTTGTTTTCAACCCTGGCATCTTAGTTTTATCTTAACTTCCAAGAAGAAATCTTTTGATATCTTTGTTATCTGAGTTGTAAATAGCAAATGAGATTAATTGAGGAATGATCATCTTTTTTCTTGATCTAAATCCTGTACTTTCATGTTGACTTTGTGTAAATATGCGTTTTTGTGTTTTAATTGGAAACTTGTCACTTAATCTCGATTTCTCTGTTTTTGAAGCCCTTCAACAAGCACATTTGTTGGAAAGGCTGGGCCACAGCAGGCAGCCCTCTGACAGCAGTATAGATAAATTTGTCTCAAGAGATGAAGCTACTGAACCAGGAGATCAAGAAAACAAGGTGAGACGTTTAGGCATGAGACTGCTCAGCATTCTGAGCTTGTATGAGTGTTTAAAATCACTTCGGCTACTGTCTGTCTGCCATGCTTCTAGCTTTCCCATCTCTAAGCTTTTCCTCAGCTCTTTCCCTTTAAATATTGATCTGTTCCCAGGTCTGCTCTTCTCTGCCTCTCCAGGTACCACCCAATCCCTTAAGAATTGCCTAAAGTTCTGCCTCCCTTGAGAGTCCTTCCCAGACAAATCTGTCTTAACTGATTGCTACCTCACCTGATTTCTTGGACCATTTGTTTGATGGTTGTGCATGGCCTTGCAACATTTCTTGTTTTTGTTCCATTGAATTAATTAATTTGTTTGTTTATTTGTTTTTGTGGTAAAATACACATAACATAAAATTTACCATCCTAACCATTTTTAAGTGTACAGTTCAGTGGCATTAAGTATATTCACAGTGTTGTGCAACATCACCATCATCCATCGCCAGAACTTTTTCATCGTCCCAAACTGAAACTCCGTCCCCATTAAACACTAACTCCTCATTCCCCTCCGCCAGCCCCTGGCACCCACCGTTCTACTTTCTGTCTCTGTGGATTTGACTACTCTAGGGGCCTCCTGTAAGTGGAATTGTACAGTATTTGTCCTTTTGCGACTGGCTTATTTTACTCAGCAGAATGTCCTTAAGGTTCATGCATAGTATAGCATGTGTCAGAATTTCCTTCCTTTTTAAGGCTAAATAATATTCTATGATATCTGTATACCACCTTTTGTTTTTCTGTTCATCCGTTGACAGACACTTGGGTTACTTCTACCTTTTGGCAATTATGAATAATACTGCTGTGAACGTGGGTGGACAATCTCTCTTCAAGACCCTGATTTCAATTCTTGTGGGTATAGACCTAGATGTGGAATTGCAGGATCATGTGGTAGTTCTAGTTTTAATTTTTTGAGGAATAGCCATACTATTCTCCTCAGCAGCTGCCCTATTTTACATTCCCACCAGCAGTGTACAAGGGTTCCGTATTCTCCACATCCTCGCCAACACTTATTTTCTGTTTGTTTGATAGTAGCCATCTGGGTATGAGGTGGTGTATCATTGTGGTTTTAACTTGCATTTCCCTAATGATTAGTGATGTCCAGTATCTTTTCATGTGGGTTATTGGCTAGTCCTGTATCTTTGGAGAAATGTCTATTCAAGTCTTCTGCCCACTTTTTAATCGGGTTGTTTGGGTTTTTTTGTTGTTGAGTTATCTATTGAACTGTTTTTAAAATACCTGTATATTTCTTACCCTTTTACATGTAAATGTCCTGTCTTCCCAGTTAATTTTAAATTCTTTCAGCACAAGAAATAATGTTTTGTACTTAGTCCTGCAGTAGTTGCTCAATTATGTTGCAACCTTGGCAGTTCTTTCCAGGTCCCCTTGCACAAGGCCTATTCCCTTTCAGTTTGGGGCTTTCCCCAGGCTTTTTCCTCTGCCTGAGTAGTTTCCCCTTGTCCTTGTGCTTCCCTGAACAGCCTCTCCTGGATGCTGGTTCTTAGCTGCCTTCCTATCCAGTGCTCCCTCGCTGCATGCTGAGCTCCTCCCTGCCACAGCCCACAAGACCCTGTGTCATAATCTGCCTCTGACCAGTGTAATTCTGCTCCACTGTGGTCTGCAAGGTCAGGCATGTCTATGGGCACAGAGAGGCATCTCTGTGTCCCTGGAGCCTGGCATAATTGCTGTGCTGGAACTAGTTGTTGAATGAACTAATGAGCAGATGTGTTGATTGTTTGATTATAAGACAAACAATGTCAGTTCCTGTGTTCTAGCCTTGCCGGATCAAAGGAGACATAGGACGATCTGCTGATGATGATTCTGCTCCTCTCATCCACTGTGTCCGCCTTTTGTCTGCTTCGTTTTTGCTAACTGGGGAAAAAAATGGTAAGTATAGAAGGGCAGGTGCAAAGTTGAAGGAAGTAACTTGAGGTGTCAGAGGTCAACTTGGTGGCCAATTTTGTGCCTTGTTCTTGAGCGGAGGGAGTAGAATCTAGGGGTGAGCTTTGTTTTCACTAGCTGACAGGAGAAGAGAGGGGCTGATGGGGGAGCTGGTTTAGTGGGTCTAGTTTTCTTTGTTTGGAAACTAAATGTTTACTGCTTTTAAGCTGAAGGTGACCCAGGTGGTTTCTTTGCAGCCTTAGTCCCGGACAGGGACGTGAGGGTCAGTGTGAAGGCGCTGGCCCTCAGCTGTGTGGGAGCTGCTGTGGCCCTTCATCCAGAATCTTTCTTCAGCAAACTTTATAAAGTACCTCTTGAAACCACGGAATACCCTGGTATGTTAAAAGTTCACATCTCATTCCTCATGTTTAATCATTATTTTGGCTGTTTTGTTTTAGATTAATAAGTTTTTTTGAGTTAATTTGTGGCATTTGAACTGTTGTAGCTCTCCATAAAACACACGAATAGTAATGTTTTTGGCTTCTTGGACTCCCTGTAGATGTGATGTTTAGTTGAAACACACAAATGAATAGAAATTTGGGAACGTAAGAGCCACTTTACATATGTATTGGATTTATACCAGAAGCAGAAATTGTGTATAATTAAAATTGCTTTGGGTCACACTCAAGCAGGCTAGACGTTCACACTCAGACAAGCGGGAACTGGGACCGGCTGAAATACCAGCAGACCCAGTCACGCATGGCGCCCGTTCTGGGACGCGGGCCGTTATGGAGTAAATGTTGGGGAGAACTGTGCTTCTGAAACCAGAGTCCCGCCTTCTCTTTTTCTTTGGGGGAGGGGACAAACTTGTGCTTTTGAATTTCTTTTAGGTAGGTGTGGACTAGCTTGAGTTTCTCTAATCTTTTTTTGAAATAAAGTCTTGGAATTTTGATTATTGGCTGACAACCTGGGATTATAATCCAGAAAATCTGTTGTGTTGAAGTGATATCAGGGATATGATGAATCTAGAATCTTCAAACCCCAAAATACTTTTTACCACTCATGGTTATTATATTCAAGTCTTTTCTGGATATGGATCGCCGTCTTGCACCCCCCCCCCTTTTTAATCCCCTGAGAATTAAGCTTTTATTTTGAATTAAGAGTTGAGGGGCCAGCCCGGTGGTGCAGCAGTTAAGTTCACACATTCTGCTTCAGCAGCATTGGGTTCGCTGGTTTGGATCCTGGGTGTAGACCTACTTACCACTTGTTAAGCTATGCTGTGGCAGGCATCCCACATATAAAGTAGAGGAACATGGGCGTGAATGTTAGCTCATGACTAGTCTTCCTCAGCAAAAAGAGAAGGATTGGTGGCAGATGTTAGCTCAGGGCTAATCTTCCTCAAAAAACAAAATTAAAAAAAAAAGAAAGAAATCAAAGGAGAAATAAAAAAATACCTGGAGGCAAATGAAAATGAAAATACAACATACTAAAATTTAAAAATAAAATAAAAGTTGATGGTGGGGACTCGTACGGTGGATGGGCAATTTATCCCTGCAGAGGAGCAGTATGTCTCAGACGTCTTGAACTACATTGACCATGGAGATCCGCAGGTCAGAGGAGCCACAGCCATTCTCTGTGGGACCCTTGTCTACTCCATCCTCAGCAGGTCCCGCTTCCATGTGGGAGACTGGGTGGCCACCGTTAGAACACTGACAGGTAACAGCCCAGTTTTCAGTAGTGTCTGTTTTAGATAGAATTCTCAAATTCAAGTTTACATGAAGGTATTTGTTGCTTGCTCTTCTGATCAGGAAATACGTTTTCTCTGGTGGACTGCATTCCTTTGCTGCAGAAAACTTTGAAGGATGAATCTTCTGTTACTTGCAAGTTGGCTTGTACAGCTGTGAGGGTAAGCATAATCATTTGTGGAAATCATTTCTTTAATTAGTGGAGATTTTACCATTGTTACAATTAAAATTGGAGTTTAATATTAAATATTTCCAGACATTCTAAAGCTGTATATGGTATGTTTACATATTGTTACAATATTGTATCTACCACTTGGCTTTAAAAGGAAAACATTGCCAATGAAGTTAAGGTTTAATAGACTTTAGTTTGTTTTAACTCTCAGAGTATTTGTTTGAAATACACCTTGTTTAACATTAAGTGTAAAACCTGTTGAATTAAAAAACAGCTCTCTCAGGCCCACAGAGTGCTGCGAGTTAGAGTGAGCTTTGGAGGTTCTTTAATCACCTCTGATGTTTGTATCAGTGGAGTAGCCTCAGTCCTGTAAATGGTAGTGTGTCAAACCTTTATATATCAGCTGTTTCCTAAATCATGACTGACAAGTCAACAACAGTAAAAATCAAAACAAAAACCCTACAGTTGTCAAATTTATTGGATACCTTCCCTTTTTAAAATTTCATGGCCTGGCCAGAATTGTTCTTTAGTTCCAAATGTTTGCCAAGTTTCAGCCGGTCTGTCATTCCTGGAGCAGAAGGAAGTTGTTGGCATCACAGTGAAGTTGCTGGCCCAAAGTCAGCACGAATCAGCCTGTGTGTGGAAATGCCCACATCTGTGCTCAGAAGGTGCAGGGAAGGGAACTACCACCACAGGGGCCCTCTCCTGTCCCCTTGTACAGTGAAGTACACAGTAACATCAAAAAGGCCTTGGGTCCCGTGTCCCTGCCCTGGGTCTGAGATTTGTTTCAGAAGTGGCGGTGGTGCAGTGTTACACGGTCTCCCTCTTTACCACTGATAAATGTTTGTGAAGTTGGTGTCTGGGTGTGGAGACCATGACAAAGGCAGGAAGGAGAGGAAGAAAGAAGCAAAGTTATGTGAAAGGGACACATTTACTTTTCAACTTGAGTTTACTGAGATAAATTATATGTTATAAATATTTCTGACCGATGTGGAAAAAGTGCAACATCCCTGTTGCAGTTAAGAAAAGACAAAATAGGTATGTATGAGAGTGATGTCATCAACCATCCAGCTGCAGCTACAGCACGAGGCTAACCCTGCCGCCATCCTGCGGTGGCCGTGTGTTTCAGCACTGCGTCATGAGTCTTTGTAGCAGCAGCTATAGTGAATTCGGATTGCAGCTGATCACTGATGTGCTGACTCTGAGGAATAGTTCCTATTGGCTGGTGAGGACAGAGCTTTTGGAAACTCTTGCAGAGATCGACTTTAGGTAAGCGAATGAGGTTCGTTATGTTGATGCACCAAAGCTACTCAGAAGTTTGAACTAAGAATTGAAAGGCCTGGGATCAGTTGAAAGGATCAGTCAATACAAGTAGTGATGGTTATCAAGGAAGCTGTGCATCAGAAATCTGAGGAGTTTAGATAGCTGATAGTGATTTTCTCCTCCTCGACTTTGCCCTATTTTTGTAATTTTTAAATATAGGCAGAGGAGTGGACTTTTCTGGTGGTCTTAGTCATTTTAGTGTCCTTAATGGTGAGAATAAAAGAGCTCAAACTTTTAAAATAATTTAGTTTATATCAATTCTGCTTGTTTAAAAAAGGAATATACTCATCATTATATTGAGCTTAGATCAAATAGCTGATTTGTATTTTGTTTAAATTTAAAAATAACTTTTGATATCTTGCAATTTTTCATTTTCTAAGAGTAAGTTTTGCTTCGAGATGTTTCCTCCAATGCTTTCTTTTAGAAGGGAAATTTTCTTTTGTTATGTAACCAGATTTTTGTTTTGTTAATCCATCATTTAGAGTGCGTATTACATGCCAGGCTCGGTGCTAGGGTTATTTTCTTTCATCCTCAGAACATCTCTGTGAATTAGGGATTGTTCTCACCTCCGCGTCACAGAGGAAGGGTGGGTGAAAACTTGCCCGAGGCCACACAGCCCCATCTGCATCAGCGGGAAGGTGCGGGAATCTCAGCTCTCACACCTTCTTTGATAGGTGTCTGAGCTAATTCTGTAGGCCACTTGGAGTCTTTCAAAATAGTAGATGTTTATTTTGAAGAAAAACAATTTACTTAGTACTGTGTTACTGAGTAGAATTCTGAGAGGAATATAAATTCTGCTTGTTTTAAAATTATTAGTCTTTCTGTTATTTTAAGTAAGTGCTGCCTCTTAGAGCCTTCCACTGCAGCTGGCTTAACACACTCTGGAGCCAGCCTTCCTCATCGTTCTGTCTGTCTGTCTCGCAGGCCATCACTGGGTGTTTGTGAGTAACTAAAGTATTTCATTGTTAAATATGTTCTTTCGTTAGGTTGGTGAGCTTTTTGGAGGCAAAAGCGGAAAACATACACAGAGGGGCTCATCATTACACAGGGGTAAGCAGTTCACTTTCGTGAGGCTGTGTTTTAGCCTCCAGGAATTCCACTTCCCTAGTGGCTTAGAATTTCTCTGACTGCATCCTGTTTTAGATTTATTTCACAATTTATATCATGAAAGTTGTGATTGTATATGTGAATTTAAGACTAGTGATCTTGAGTTCTTCCTCACTGGGTTTCCAAAATATCTTACCTAAAATTTAGTTAAATACAGAGATTATATCTATTTTTATTATCCTTCTCTCTAAAGCGGTTAAAACTGCAAGAACGAGTGCTCAATAATGTTGTCATCTATTTGCTTGGGGATGAAGACCCCAGGGTGCGACATGTTGCTGCAGCTTCATTAATGAGGTACTTATCAAATATTTTCTCTCTTTATTCCCTTTTTTGGTTGAAGTACTAAATGGTATGGGAGTAAGAAGAGAGGGAAAAATTCAGAGTATTTGGGCAGTATTCATAAATCTTTTGGGCTCACTGTTTCAGCTACTCTTAAACTATCAAAAAAGATATTATTTCCTACTGTAAGGGTCTAATATGATAAAACAACAACAGAACACTAACCTCCTATTGTAAGAGTAATGCACTTTCATTGTCAAAATTTTGGAATATAGAGAATAGCACTAAGAGAAAATAAAAATCACCTTCAGTTTTACCACTGGAGATAATCACTTAACATTTTGCACTGTTAACATTTTGTATATCCTGTGTATGAGTTTCTTTTTCAAAATTGGGACAAAATATACTTACAAGTTTGTAATATAGTAAACATCTTCTTGTTATCAAATACTCTTCTAAAAAAGAACTTTTAACCACCAGTGTTTTCTGGGACAGCACCCTGTATTCAGATACATTCATTTTTCTGTAGTGAAATATGACATGCATGACATTTCATATAGTGTGAGGTAAATAAAGGCTATAAATATTGTTTTAAAAAAAGAAATTTTGGGGCTGGCCCTGTGGCATAGCGGTTAAGTGTGACGCGCTCCACTTTGGCGGCCCAGGTTCACAGGTTTGGATCCTGGGTGTGGACCTACACCACTTTTCAAGCCATGCTGTGGTGATGACCCACTTAGAAAATAGAGTGAGATTGACGCAGATGTTAGCTCAGGATTAATCTTCCTCAAGCGAAAAAAAGAGGAAGATTGGCAACAGATGTTTGTTCAGAGCAAATCATCGTCACAAAAAAAAATTTAATTCGTAGCCTTTTTTTTTTTTCCTGAGGAAGATTGGCCCTGAGCTAACATCTGTTGCCAATCTTCCTCTTTTTGCTTGAGGAATATTCGCCCTAAGCTAACATCTGTGCCAGTCTTCCTGTATTTTGTATGTGGGTTGCCACCACAGCATGGCTGCTGATAAGTGGTCTAGGTCCACATCCAGGAGCCGAACCTGGGCCACCAAAGCAGTGCACGCCGAGCTTAACCATGAGGCCATGGGGCCAGCCCCAAGTAGCCATTTTTTTACTATGTAGTTGTGCTAAATTTTTATATAAATATTATTTGGTTGAATATTAAGTTTACTTTGATTTGAATAATGAGTAATACTGTTGCTATACGTACATGTTTATGTATCTTTTGTTTCTTAGAATTAATTCCTGGAAGTTGAGTTACTAGGCCAAGCTTTTTGATGATTTTTTTTAAAATTTCTAGTGGTTTTATTGAGGTATAATTTTATATCCCATTTTAAGTGTACAATTAAATGATTTTAGTAAACTTACAAATTTGTATAACCATTACCACATCCAATTTTAGAACATTTCCACCATCGCAAAAAGATCCCTTGTGCCCTTTTGCAGTAACTGCCAGTTCCCACCCACAGTGGGAATTCATCTACTAATCTACCTCCTGTCCCTAGTGATTTGCCTTTTTCTGGACATTTTATATAAATGGGATCATACAGTTGTTGGAATTTGCATCTGAGTTCTTTCACTTAGTTTTTGAGGTTCATCCATGCTGTAGCATGTACCAGTAGCTTATTCCTTTTATCCATTTTATGGATAATACCATATTTTATTTATCTGTTCAGCAGATGATTGATATTATTTCTACTTTTTGGCTGCTATGAACCATGCTGCTTGAACACTGGCCTATGAGACTGTGTGTGGACATATGTTTTCATTTCTCTTGGGTAGATACCTAGAGGTGGATTTTGTATGGGTTTTGGTACTTGTGAAATTACTCTCTAGGAACATACCAATTTATATTGCCACTACCAGAATATGATTGTGCCTGAGTCTTCTCACCACAACAAATATTTCAAAAAAAGTTAAATTTGTGTCCATTGTTTAGGCAGAAATTGCTATTTTTCAAAAAATAACTTTTAACTTGTTTTAAAAATAATACATGTTTACTGAATAAAATTTAGGGAAAGTATAAAAAAATAAATAAAAATCTTTGTAATCAAACTATTCAAAGAAAATAAAAGTTACATTTTGGCGTATAACCTTTCAGTTTGTGGTGTTATCATTTGCATTTCTGTGATTGCTTGTGAGGTGTGCTTTTTCATGTAGTTAACTGGGTCTGTATGACTTGCCTAATTAAAGACTTTGGATCTTAACCATTTTCTACAAATGATAGCAATTTATAATACCCTAGGAAAAAAATTGTACTGTTGACCAATTCTCCATGGAGGAAAGAGATTTTAATTAGATATTTAGGTTTGTAAACCAATGTAATAAATAGTTGATTGTTTCTAAAAGTTATACACCCCATCCGTAAGTGTAGCAATACGGTCATGCAAAATATGCACTGAGTGTTGATTGCAGAAATGAGCCCTTTGGTTCCTTTAGGAAATGTTTGCCATATTCTGCCTTTGAGTTCAGTTTAGATTCGTGAGGAGTCACAGCTGGAGCTTTGCTGTCTGGGAATGTATGGGATGGTTTTGCAGGCAAAATTGGAAAAATGAGTGAGGGACAGCCCCTGGCATTCAGATCTGTTCTCTGCTCTAGTGCTTTCTATGGATAGTGGGTTAATGCACATGTTGATGTTGGTCAAGGTGATTAGAAAGAGAACTTTCAAGGTTGTTGGTTTTTAATCAAAGCAAGAATTATATGTAGAGAAGGGTACTTAATTCTATGATAGACAAAAAGAAAATACAGCACCTAGTTATTTCAAAGTGGGTGTGTGGGTGAGTAGTCCTGTGATCAGAGACCCCTGCTCTGCTGAGCTTAAAGAACGTCGCCTCTGAAAAAGGAAAGTGGTGTTCTGTGGGCAGACGGTGTTTTAGGCTTAACCACCTTCACAGAGAGGAGTGGTGAATCACAGGTGAGTTTCATGTACTTTCTTAAGTAAATAAACCTCGCTTTTATGTTAGGCTTGTCCCAAAGCTGTTTTATAAATGTGACCAAGGACAAGCTGATCCAGTAGTGGCTGTGGCAAGAGATCAAAGCAGTGTTTACCTGAAACTTCTCATGCATGAGACGCAGCCTCCATCTCACTTCTCCGTCAGCACGATAACCAGGTACACTAACCTATTGATGTCCTGACATTGTCTTAGGGCTTTAATCTAAAACACAGCATTGCCTAGAAAAAAAGCTTTGGGTTTGAGAATGTTTGAGTAGGTTGTCTTCCTTTGATAGGCTGTTTCTCCTTTTCAGGATTTACCACCCCTCCTCTTTAAGCTCTGCCGCAGTCACACAGTAGTGATACCGTAGATCTTTTAGTTTGTTCTTTGCAAGCTGCCTAGTGATGAGTGTAGTGTTCTACACGACTCCAATGCTATGTCTTATCTACTAAGCTGTCCTTTAAATTTTTCACTTTATTTGTGCTAGCTATGAAGAGCTCGGGTACGTCATGCCTGTTAATTTTTAGGTGAGCAGGCTATTAAAAAGTGTCAGTGTTATTTAGAGTTATCCACTAGTTCAGTGATTTAAAATTATTGTTCACATTTGTTGTGAGGAGTTTTTAAATACAATTTCAAATGGCCTTACATAGCCCACTCTCGTCTGATTCTCAGATGAGCAGCATAGACTATGAAAGTAATTAGAGTAGAAATGCCTTAATGAAGTTATGATTTTCTTTAGAATTTTAGTTTACCAAGAGGGCTGCAGAAGTGATAAGAAGACTATTATGCTTTTTTAACTCTGTTTTTTAAATTTTATTTTAAAAATTAGTTTTATATGGTAACTCTCTGCTGAGTGGCAATTTTTTTAAAAACTTGAACTTAATGGCTTCTAAGCTGAAATGTTCACCTGATGCTTTTGTTCTGAATTTGGAACTCAGCTTGTCAAATTTTGAAGTCTTTATTCCTAAATAAATATCACCTCTTATCATATAAAGCCTGCTTAAAAAAACACACATGGAATAATTTCTTGTTTACCTTCATATTGTCTTCCCGGCGAATTTTCCTTTTGTAACCTCTAAACTGGCATTTTCTCTCTTTGAAAAAATTCAGGATAAATATTCCTTTAAGATAAGCAGAAGCAATATAAGAGTATTTCATTATCAGGAATTTGACAAGCTTAGAGTAAGTTGCTCTTTCTAAATGTCGTTTCAGAAAATGAGTATTTAGATGCCAATAGAGATGAGTATAATATTTTGTTAAAATTGGTTACTACTTCGAAAATTTTCCCAGTTCCAAGCTTAAGCTATCCTCTTGACGTTTGGCTCTGCTTATTTGGTTCTTGGATGATAAACATAGTTACTTATTGTGCAGCTATATTTGCAGCATAGCTACCTGCTGTTTTAGAAGTTATGTGAGAAGGTAAAATACTAGTCTTAGTTTTGTTGTTGAATGCCTCTGTGGACAGGACACTGAGGGACACAAGACTGAACCCAGCGTGAATCCTGCCTGCTTGGGCTTCATTTATATAGTGGGGAGTTAGAGTTTGTGTGTAGCTACTGTGAGGGCTCGAAACTGCTCTGTGCCGTGAATGGAATTTGGAAAAAGTGCCCCGGCAGTCCTGTAGTGGAGAGAGGACTTCTTTTGTCTTGGAATCAGGGGTCACTTCGTGCAGTATTTCTTTTAACTTAAAGTTTGGAAAATGGGTGGCTTTGGGCGTGTAGAGAGATTGCAGGCAAGGCTGTGAGGAGCGTGTTGCTCCGGTGCTGTGGTGGAGGTGTTTGCGGCACACTGGGAGGAAGGGAGGGGTCGTTTCAGCCATCTTTCCAGAATAATGACCAGATTTATGTACAGTCTTTCTTTAAGTTACAAGACTGCTTTCACTTCTCGTAGCCTTTAATCTTAAACTTTTAAATGTTATTTGAATTTTGAAAATATTATAAGCTTTAATAGTAGATTTTAAGTTTCTGTATTTTTCTTATTAGAATATATAGAGGCTATAACTTACTACCAAGCATAACAGATGTCACTATGGAAAATAACCTCTCGAGAGTTATTGCAGCGGTTTCTCATGAACTAATCACATCAACCACGCGAGCGCTCACAGTAAGTCTCTTTGGGTTGGTCTCAATGAAATTAATTTTCATTAGTTTGTATGGTCAGTTCTCAATGGTAAAATGCTTGTATTAGAGTCTTATAAGTGGGGCTTACTAAGAAATTGTACTTCTCTGAACAAAATCCTGGTTTATTCCAAAAGGAATGTAAACAGCTATTTTTTTCCTGATTATTAAGGTAATACATGCTCATTGTAAAAAAAATTCAGCCAATGCAGGAAGATATAAAAATGAAAATAAAAACTACCGTAATCTGAATTGGTAATATAGCAGAAGTTTAAAATATCTCTGTTATAATTGACTCAGTGACTATGTAATATATATATATATAATATATATATATAATATAGAAGGGGAAAGAATCAGAAATGCTAACAAAGATTTTTGTATAATATAATTATCTGTATCATCATTTATGATGCTGAAATTAGAAAAGAACCATAGTGTCCAATAATGATTAGATTCTGATTATGACTAAATTCTGTGTATGTGGTAGTATATTTGTTATGCACCTCTTTATTATTATGCTTTGGAGAATTTTTAATGATATGGAGAGATATCTGGGTTATAATATTGAGTGGAAAAGGCACAGTACAAAACTATGCTTGTGTCTAGTCAGATCTCAGTTATGAAAAATAATATTCACATATATACATATCTCATATACTCAGGAAAATGATGGGCAGGAAATTGCCAAAATGAATTTTAGGATTATGAATGACTTTTGTTTTCTTCTTTATATTTTTCCAATATTTACAAATTTTCTGAAATGAACAAGTATAACTTTCATAATCAGGAAAAAGAATATTATGCAGAAGTAGTGTTAATTTGCTATCATATTAAACCATGTGTTTTATTTTATGTTACAGAAGAAATGTTTGCATGTTGTAGAAAACTCAGACAATTATACTTAGGCCATTTTCATAAGTATGTAAGAGCCTTTCAAACCTAAATATTGTTTGGGCTCTTTGGGCTCTGTAGTTTGGTCTTCCCCTGATTTGTTCAAAATATAAACTTTATTTATTTGTGTTTATTGTGGCCTACATGTGTCAGGCACTGTTCTTGGCTTGGGATGTAAAAATAAAGTAGATCCCTGCCCTGTGGTTCTTGTGGTCAGGTCAGGGAGATGGACGTTAGTCAGCTTGAGCACAGGAGCAGACCAGGGAGGGGCAGGGAGGGCACTCCAGGCCAAGAGGGTGGCACAGGACAGTTACAGTTTCGGGCACAAGGAGCCCCCACTGCTGGCCTGTCTTCACAGGGATATATCTGACTCTCCCTTAAAACGCGTATTTCACTTGTACAGCTGCGTCTTTTCAGGTATGAATGTGTACCGTGGTGGGACAGACAGCCTATCGTTAGACACAGATCTCAATTTTGTTTTCATTGTTTGTACTTTTTATAAAAGGTAAAGGAAGTTCAATTTAATAAACCTTTTTGGTGTGTGGGTGTGACTTCACTGCTCCTCTCTTCCTTAGTTTGGATGCTGTGAAGCTCTGTGTCTTCTTTCAACTGCCTTTCCAGTTTGCGTTTGGAGTTTGGGGTGGCACTGTGGGTATGTATTTTCCTCAGCAAATGAGTATCTACGATTAGGTGGTACAGACGTAGTTATTGGCATCCCTTTTGTTCTTTCTCGTTAGGTCTTTTACCAGTTTGACCTTTTGGAAAAATACCAGACGGAATACTTGCTTCTGCCCTGTTAGTTGTATGGGAACCCAGTGATAGGGCTGTGGGGAGACGCTGGCTTTGCTGTAATTCTCGTGGATGTCAAGTGCATGCTTTTGAGCATTTTGGAGGATTTGAGGGTGTGTTTGCAGGCTCATGTAAGGGACTTTGCGTATGCTGGCAGAGGACTTTTCTGATTGGCTTTATTCTCCAAAATTATTCACTATGTATTAAAAATTTAGGGGCTGGCCCGATGGCGCAGCGGTTAAGTTCATATGTTCCACTTTTCGGTGGCCCGGGGTTCGCTGGTTCAGGGTTCCCCGGCTCAGATCCCGGGTGCAGACATGGCACCGCCTGGCACACCATGCTGTGGTAGGCGTCCCACATATAAAGGAGAGGAAGATGGGCACGGATGTTAGCTCAGGGCCAGGCTTCCTCAGCAAAAAAGAGGAGAACTGGCAGTAGTTAGCTCAGGGCTAATCTTCCTCAAAAAAAAAAGAAAATAAATAAATAAATGAAATTTTTCTGTAATTCGACTTTGCAAATGTGTGCCTCCAGAGTGCCCCCTCTGAGTGCCTCAGATGAGGCCAGAAAGAGCTGTACTGTTGGGATGGCCACGATGATCCTTACCCTGCTGTCGTCAGCGTGGTTCCCGTTGGATCTCTCAGCCCATCAAGATGCTTTGATTTTGGCTGGAAACTTGCTTGCAGGTATTGGCGCTGAGTTGGAACAGGGATTCTAAGGCTTCAGCTTTTGATTTCCTTTTGGAGGTAGGGGTGATGGGCATAGGAAGGAAGAACATGAGACCATAGCTTATTCCTGTGGTTACCAACATGCATAAATGTGTACTGTAGGCAGCTGTTCTGTGCCTTTCTCAGTCTGGCCCCTCAGTTAGCTATAGGTGAACTCATTTCTAATTTAATTTTAATGGGCACCATGAGCCAGGCACTGTCACAGGCACCAGGGCTATAAGAAAGTATGATGTGTGAACTCCGTTCTCAAGTCAAATGTAGATTAGTGGGGACATATGTAAACTAAAGGACAATGGCAGCACAGAGTGGCCATATCACTCTCCTTTGGGGATTAGGATGGGAAACAGGATTTATGAGCTGGCAGGGAAGGGCACACCAGTTGGAGGGCGGAGCACATGCGAAGGCTTGGAGACATGAAAAATTGTGTGACATTTGAGAACTGTAAGTAATTTTGGATGTCACATGAGGGTGAGGACTAGGATGGAGAATGTGACTGGTGAGGAAGGAGGGGCCCATTGAAACTGATGGGTGTGGGGTGTTACCAGCTCCATTAAGGAGGACTAGCAGTCAGATTAGTACTTTAAAAGACCTCAGCTGACTTGAAAGTGGGTTGGAGGAGAAGGTAGGGAATCTCAGGAGGTTAATTGTAGTTAAGGCAAGACGTAGAGTCCGAACAAGATAATGTCTATGAAATTTTGGGGGATGAGACTTGAAATAGAGTGAAGGAGGCAGAATCAGGCCTTGATCACCAATCAAACTTTGGTTGTAGAGTTCAAGAAGAGGCCTAGGATGCCTGTCACATCCTGGGTGGGTGTATGGTGGTGACATTCATGGAAATTGGGCACACTATTTGGGGGGGGAAATGTCAATTTCCTGTTGAATTTGAGGTATCAGTTGACCCTCAGGTAGAGATATCCTGCAGACTCTAAATGTACATGGGTCTGAATGACTTACATTCTCTAAGCAATTTCTTTTCCCCACACTGTGGAGGTGGGGAGATAATGCATGTGTCTCTGTCACAGCCAGTGCCCCCAAATCTCTAAGAAGTTCATGGACCTCTGAAGAAGAGGCCAACCCAGCAGCCACCAAACAGGAAGAGATCTGGCCAGCTCTGGGTGACCGGACCCTAGTGCCCATGGTTGAGCAGCTCTTCTCCCACCTGCTGAAGGTGATTAATATCTGTGCACATGTCTTGGATGATGTGGCTCCTGGACCAGCAATAAAGGTAACTTGTTACTTGGACAGGTGTTTTAATGTAATCCAGATGACTCCATAGGTTCCAAACATGCCTTTGTTTACCTTCTGTCCCTGCCTTATTCTCTTTTGCTTAAAATGAACAAAATTGGTCATATTATGATGCTAAGTTTAACACCAAAATTTACTCATCCAGTTTGTAGCCCTTTTGGTATCATCTTTAATTACTGTTACCTCTGGGAGGGAAAAAAGCTAGCTTTCCTTTTAGGCTGTCAGGATTAGCCAGGAAAGCTCAGAATTGAAGTTGCTGGTTTAGTAGCTCGTTTGCTGGCTCCTGAAATCTTGACAGACAGTTTTGCTTTTCTGTGAAGTACAGTTCAGTGAAATCAACTTCAAAGCCAATGCTAAACTACTCACAAGATGCGTTTAAGATCAATCAGGTCACTTTTATTTGCTTGTTCTTTCTCTTTTCTGTGTCTTCCACCTCAGGTCTCTGCCATCTAGAAAGACTCTCCTCTAACTTCAGACTTTCCTTTAGCTGCCAACCGGTCTCCCCTTGTGACAGATTTCTCCGAAGAGTTCTGTCTCCCTGCTCAGCACCTTGGTGCTTCCCACCACTCTGATGCTGGCCTTCTTTTGTAAGGCCTCTTTGCTCTCTTCTCTGTCCACTGCTCCAGCCGTCACTTCTTTAACCCCTGCCAATCTGATTTCTGCCACCACTTTCCATAGCAGCTCTTCCTGCTGAGATCAGTCTTTGAATCTCACAGGGATGTCTCAGGTCCTATCTCACTTCCCCTCTGCACACTCACTACGGCCACTCTGTCCTGACATCTTCGCTCTGGTTGGCTTCCAGATTGTCTTTTGTTTCTCTCTGACCCCGCTTCTTTTTCCCAGGCACTTTCCTGGTTCAGACTTTCTGCGCACCATTATTGCTTTCCAGGCCTGTCCTAGGTCAGCCTCTGTCTGTATACTTGCTGGGCCACTGCCATCCAGTACAACTTTCTGTAATGGTGGAAAGCCAGGACAGTAGCCACTAACAGCATGTGGCTACTAAGCACTGGAAATGTGGCCAGCAAGACTGAGGAACTGAACTTCTAATTTTGTTTAGTTGTCATTAAATTTAAATTTCAATAGCCATGTGTAGATTGTGGCTCCAGTATGGGACAGGGCAACTCAAGGAGGTTGGGTCTGCTTTCATGTCTTCAGTGACTAAACATCAGAGACTCTATACCTGTCTTTGGAGTGCCAGGCCAGTGTGGCCAGCTATACATGAAACTTCTGCCCGGATGATTCATAGATATTGCAGGCACGTGCTAAAACTCCACTTCTCAGCCTTCTCCCCAGATTGTGCTTACTTCTGTTTCTCTCACTTTGTGTTCTGTCAAACTAGGAAAATAGGAGTTATTCCAGTTGTTCATTTTCTCTCACCAAGTCCTTTGTTTTTCCTACTCAGTATCTTGCAAAAAACCCATATACTTTTATGCACATAAACATGTTCATGTACATATACACACATACACACATATATATGTGCACACATACACGTACAGATGCATACATACACATACAGGTACACATACTTATACATACACATACTTTTCTCTGTGTTCACTGCCACTGTTCTGGTCCAAACTGATGGAGTATCTCTTTTAGAGTACTGTAGCAGTGTCTTTTCTTTTTTTTTCAAGCAGCATTGTCATACAATTATGGCATAATTCACTTACCATACAATTCACCCATTTAAAGTGTATGATTCAGTTTGTTTTTGTATGCCCAGAGTTGTTTGGCCATTACCACAGTCAATTGTGAACTGGAAAAGGAACGCTGTACCCTTTAGCTATCACCCCCAGCTTTAGGCAACTGCTAGCCTACTTTCTGTGTCTATAGATCTGCCTATTCTGGCGTTTCATGTAAATAGAACCATACGATCGGTGTCTCGTGACTGGCGCCTTTCCCATAGCATGTTTTCTTGGTGCAGCAACTCCTTTCCTGGTCTCTGTGTAGTCCTTCCCTGCTGCTTTCCATTCCATTCTCCTGAGTGCAGCCATTTATCTCATTACATCCATTTTCCAGACAAGGCTCCGAGATGTGTGGTGACTTCTCTAAGATTGAGGAGTGAGTGAGTAGCAGAGCTAGGGTCTGAAGTCCACATGTCTGTCAGCCTCTCCGCTGTGCCCCCATGCCAGCTGCCTTCTATAGCATGGAAGCCTGTGCATTCTGTATTCTGTCCCGAGTATTGGAGAGAGTGTGGGCTTCTTGAATAGGCAGGGTTTGTTGACTCCTAGCTCTGCTACTTATTTGCCGTGACCTTGAATAAGTCACTTCATCTCTGAGCTTGTTTCCTCATTTGGAAAATGGAGTTTAAAACATTGCTTCAAACCCTTTTTCATGTCATGGCTCCCATAGAATGCCTTGGTTGCTTGCTGTTGGAGCTGATGTGACTGGGGGCTCCAGTGGCCTCAGGCCCCGCCTGACTCCCTGAGGGCTCCTTTCATCCCTATTTGTTCACAGTGCACCTGTTACGAAGTTCTCGGTCAATACCTACTATGTATTATTGTTGTGTGGGTTAAAGTAGATGATATATGTACAGTATCTGAGCTCTGTAAATGTGGCTTCAGAGAAAATAATGAGTTGCATGGCTTGGTTGTTTTCAATAAATGGTAAAACCATAAATTATAGTTTTCAGTTTCTGAATTGGTTATACTTCCTTCACAGTTTCTTGTTTTCTATTTTAGGCAGCCTTGCCATCTCTAACAAACCCCCCTTCTCTAAGTCCAATCCGACGAAAGGGAAAGGAAAAAGAACCGGGAGAGCAGGCTTCTGTACCATTGAGTCCCAAGAAAGGCAATGAAGCCAGTCCAGGTGTGAAGCGATGGCTGGGGAGGGGGACACGGAGGAGATTTGGGGACACCATCTATATTGTAGAAATTTAGGACTTAAGCTTCATTGATATTAGGTTAACATAATAAGTGGATATTTTTGGGAAATAAAATACGCAGCAATGAAGCCAGAGAAATGGTTTCCCCGTTGTGATTTCAGATATTAAATATTAATTACTAATTGTATACAGACCACATTTTGGTCTTACGCATCTCTAAATGACACTTGCTAATATGCAGACTCAATAGTCTCCAGGCATCTGGCCCATAGCAAGGGGCCTGGCCTGCTGTCTTATTCCCTTGTGCTTCCTCCCTTCTCTTCTCATTGAGAAGAGGGATGGAAAGGATTCCTGATTTTAAGTAAGGGAAGGTGGTAGGAATGGCTAGGAATAGAGGTAGTGGGGTGAAATAGTTGGTCTCTTATATGTGAAAAATTCTGAAGTAGGAAATGGAAAATTTACATTTGGAAGTGCTAAACGAGATGTAAAGTGGGGATAAAAATCATCTGAGTGAGAGGAACCTGAAAAATTCACACATGCTTGGAGGGGCTTCTACCCCTGTGCAAGTCTCAGAACAGAGGGGGCCAGAGTTATAGAGTGACTCCACAGTTCATGCAGTCTGTGCTGCTCTTGGTGGGCACCGGGAGGCCCAGGCAAAGCAGGAGGTGACTGGCTGCCTCTCATATCCCAGACGCCTGCCCGTCTGTGCTTGTGCTCCCCCATAACCCGTTTGTGCGCCATCCCACAGTGCCTGGGGGCTGGTCATGACTCTCCCATATATTTTGCTTATAAAGCATTTATGTTAAGGCTTTTTAAAAGATGCTGTTTTCTAATGATTGGCTGTAGTACTGCAGGAAGATTTACAAGCTTAAAACCTTCAGAAATTTTATCATCAGTATGTGACTGATCGTCTTTCTGATAAACTAAGGAATCCAATTCAAAAGTCTTTAAAATTAGAGTAGAATAGTTTTATGTAGTGCTTGGCATTGTAATATTTAATATCAGTTTAATGATAATGTGTGTGCCCTTCACAGTTTTCAGAGCATGTTCACATGTCATCCGTTTGATTGCTTAAAGGGCCCATGACCTAAGTTGGCTGGGCTCCCCCGTGGCACTGGGAGCGTTGGGCCCCTGAGAGGTTGTGTGATTGGCTACAGGTCATGGAATTAGTTGTTCCTCTTATTTGCAAACAGGCAACCAGAGCAAAACAAGTAATAGCATCACGCTGCTTTTCTTCTTCTTTTATTGTTTTTGGGGAGGTACTCAGATTCTACTTATGTTTATTAGTCAATTTCTTGTTACTTCTAACTGATCAAAAAGAGGAAAAATTTGGACTTTATTCTACTAGGATACTTTAAACTCATCATTGCCAGTAATCTCTTAAACGTCACGTGTTTTCTTTTGATCTAAAAGTTTATTTTGTGTGTGTGTTTTTAAAGCTTCTCGACAATCTGATACCTCAGGGCCTGTTCCAGCAAATAAATCCTCATCACTGGGAAGTTTCTATCATCTTCCTTCATACCTCAAATTGCATGATGTCCTGAAAGCTACTCATGCTAACTACAAGGTACTGCTTCTTTTGTAAAAATATGCAGATACACAAATTTCTAATAGACTGTTGATGTTTTTCTAATGGATTGTTGATGTAAGATTTGTAGCTTGTATACGTACATAGCCATACTTATAAATAAGTCAGTTAGGCCTTTGGGTTGTGAGTTAGAATTAGTTTTTCATATTTGTCTTTCAGCTTTGTTTGTGGTAGCTTCTATCAGAGAAAATTTAGGATTTTCGTTGCAGAAATGGTCTCTTTATGGGTTATGGGTGCTGCATCTGAGTTTCCCAGGAATACCCCCACATTCAGAGATTACTGGAAGGACTCATGTGACTCAGCATATAATCGTACCCACAGCTAGGATTTTTTTACAGCAGTGTGGTAAGGACTCACAGCCAGACGATAAGGGACAGTAACACAGGTGAATCAGAGGGATCCATGCCCAGGCTTTCTGTGTGCTCTCCCTCCCTGAGGGCTGCGCAGAGTACCCTCAGCAACGAAAATGCAGCAGCCTGCTGACCATGGAGGCTCTCCTGCCTAACAGACCAAACTGCCAGACTCGCAGAGGAAAGCAGGTGTTCAGCTTAAGACGTGTTGTCCTTTCAAGTAACACAAGCCCAGCAAGCCACCCTCTCCAGTTAGGCAAGTGTGCTATCAGTGTAAGAATGGTGTACTGGCCAGGTTCCCAGCCACTCCCAGGACCAGCCTTGCAAGCAGGTTTCTGGAAGGATAGCAGTCTGTTATGTTGCTGCTTCTCTGCACAGGTATGTTTCACACTTAGGGCTTTCGCTTTCTGAGATTATTAAGGAAAAATCTTCCGTGGTTGTTTCTTCTTCTTCCTTTTTTTTTTTTTGATGAGGAAGATTGGCCCTGAGCTAGTATCTGTTGTAGTCATCCTCTTTTGTGCTTGAGGAAGATTGTTGCTTAGCTAATATCTGTGCCAATCTTCCTCTATTTTGTATGTGGGATGCCACCACAGCGTGGCTTGATGAGTGGTATGTAGGTCTGTGCCCAGGATCCAAACCCATGAACCCAGGCCACTGAAGCAGAGTGTGCAAACTTAACCGCTATGCCACCAGGCTGGCCCCCCCGCCAAGGTTTCTTTTAGGGCTTTTCCTTTTTTTCTTTCATTCGTTTTTTTAAGTTTGAAATTTTCTGTCTGTAATTTATGTTAGATATGAAGTATGGATCTAACTTAATTTTTTTCCAGCTGCCTAACAAGTTGTCCCCGACACTATTTCCCGAATAATCCATTTTTTCTGAACCAATTGGTTTAAAGTACTGCCTTTATTAAATGCTAAATTCTCCTGGTTCTGTAGTTTCATTTACTGTTTTGTTACATCAATCTGTTCATCTATTAGAAACATACTTTCTGATTATTGTAGCTTCATAATATGTTTTTGGGGAGATCAATTCCCCTATTCTTCTTTAGAATTTTCCTGGGTATTCTTATTTGTTTACTTTTGCATGTGAACACGAGAATAAGCTAATCTTAATTCCAAAGAATCCTGGGAGTATTTCCACTGGGATTATGTTAAATTTGTAGATTAGTTTAGGGAAACCTATAGGTGTTAAGTGCACCTGTCCAGAGTGTGGGATGCTTTTTTGTTTATTGAAAAAACTATGTGCCTCAGATACACGTGAAATTTAAAGAATTTTTAAAGATTATTTTGCATAGATCTTGCACATTTCTTGATAAATATGTGCCCAGGTAGTCATCTTTTTTTTGTTACTAATAGATACTTCTCAATTTTTTGGAAAACCATTTATAAACTTTATTTAAGGCTTCTTTTCTGAAGGATATTAACAATTTTGCTATTCAACAACATTTTATGGAAGATTTGGAGGATCTGTTTAGCTGGATGTTTCTCACGTCAGCCCCAAAGTAGAGGAGTGTACATTTAAAATCCCACACAGAAAAGGCCTTTCCTGTCCACTTCTTTTCACCCATCTTGTCCTCAGTCAGGGGCCCCTCCCAAGGCTCTCAGCATTTGCTCCCTCCTTATCATTTTCCTTCCTGAATGTCCTGGACTCCCAGGTGTACCCCTTTGATTTTGGCCTCCCTGGTATCTCAGATTCCTGCCTCCTGAGCCCTGGTTAGCTCAGTTTATCTGTGTTTGGAGTAACCTCCCCATTTCCTTTGTTCAGCCTCTGCTGAGCCCCCGAGCATGGCTGCTCCCCATTGTTTGCTTGGCCCTCGGGCTCCCCTGTCAGCCCTTTGCTCTCCCTGGTTTATTTCTTTGGTCTCCAAATCCTTCTTCACTCTCCTTAGAGCCCTTTGATCTTAATTCTCACCTCATGACCTCTCTTGGTTATTCAAGAAAGGCCTTCCCCATGCACACTCTCCCTTGACCTCCTCCCCACCGACATTCCTTTCCTGTTGTCTGGGCTGAAGAGGATAGCAGTGCCTGCTGGAGGTGAACCCCTTCTCTCCTGTTTCCCCAGGACATGCTATCATGGAATCACCCATCCCTGGGTCTTTCGTGGTCTCACTCCTGGATTTTTTTTTCCTTCCTTGGCCTATTGAGAACACCTTCAGCTTGACATAGAGTGGTCACAGGTTGATGTAGGGTGGTCACAGCATTTATTAGGTCACTTACGTTTTCATTTTCTGTGTCTGTCTCTTGCCTGCTTTCCTCTCCCTTTCCCAGAAAGTGTTTTCTCTTTCCTCATGGGTGGTTGGATTTTATTTCACTGAGCAAATTCCTTTCTATGTATTGTAGTGTTTTTACAGGGTTTTTGTCAGTTTATATTTTCATAGTCAATCTCTCCCCCCCACCCTTGTTCTTACATATTATATCTTTGGAACTGATCCATTCTCTTGGTCTGTTAATTGAGGATTTGCTGCATAATTTAATTTAAGTTGAATCCTTTAGAATCTTAATACTTCATAAGGCTAATTTAATGTTCTACTGTAGCCAGACTGAAAGGCACTGTCTGAAATGGATAACAGTTTTCCTCAGGGATCCTAATATATATGGAGTAGGATGTGTATTTTGTATTTTTTCATATGCTGCTTATCAGATACTAGTTATGATGGACATTAAAATTTTTTTTCTCATTGTGATAGAAGGTTAGGAATTATTTCTTTCAGTAGTGTCAGTATAAGCTGGAAAATGCCTTTGAAAGCTAACAGGTTTTTATCCTTCTCCCCAAAGACCCCCAGCACATAGCTATATATTCTAGTTGTAGGTCCTTCTGGTTGTTCTGTGTGGGATGCTGCCTCAGCATGGCTTGATGAGTGGTGCTAGGTCTGTGCCCAGGATCCGAACCCGTGAAACCCTGGGTCACCGAAGTGGAGCACGTGGACTTAACCACTCTGCCATGGGGCTGGCCCCTAACGGTTTTTGTATAGCTATCTGGAAGAGTAATTTCCTTTCCAAGTCATTTTCCCAGTGCTAAAAGCAAACAAATAAACAAACAGAAACACTCCAGATGGTGAGCGTGTAGGGCTGCGTAATGGAACGTGTCTCGCCACAGCAGATAGCGTGTGTCTTAGTTTTAAATAACCAGTGTTCCACAGTGCCGGTAATTGTGTTCTCTCCCTCCACTTTCCCAAGGTCACCTTGGATCTTCAGAACAGCACTGAAAAGTTTGGGGGATTTCTGCGCTCTGCCTTGGACGTTCTCTCTCAGATTCTAGAATTGGCAACACTGCAGGACATTGGGAAGGTTTGTGTTTCATTTCTTCTCCTTGAGCCAAGTGCCTCTGGGGATGGAACGCCGTTGCCCAGGTAACAGCTTGGGGAGAAGCTTCCTCGACCCCTTCACTGCTTACATCATGGCACCTGAATCTGATTCTTGTCTTAGCCTCAAGTTGGGGAGGGAATTCTATTTGTGTCCTATTTTCAGTTCTTTGCTGTTTATTAGCTTAGACCCAGTTTATTCTAGAAAATTGGTGGATTTAAAACTGTGCTGATGGAGCCCTTTATTTTCTTATTTGACATTTGCAAGTAGAAAGAGCAAAAACAGACTTAGTGAGGGTATATGACTTGTTCCTTCGATGCCTTAGGAAGCAACAGAGCTGAGGTTGACGCTCATATTCATTGGTTCCAAGTTCAGTAGTCTCCCTCCCCCACTCCCATTTTGTAAGGAAATATTCAAAGCACTCATAGAGTTAAAAGAATTTTGTGGTGAACACCATATGGTATGTCCATGACCCAGATTCTGCAGTTAAGGTTTCGCTAGATTTGCTTTATTGTGTGTATATCCAGCTACCAGGATATCTTATTTTCTCATGAATTTCAAAGTGAGTTACAGATAGCCTCCCCTTTAAACGTGTGTCTCTTTTAAGTGGAATATATTATGTCTGATGAAGTTCGTTTGTTTTCATTTCTCTAAATCTTTATCTTATCTTGATATGCACAAAAGCTTACCTATTTTTAATCATTATACACATTATTGTATATTTTTTCTCTCGGCTATTCCTTGTGCTTTTATTGCGTGTGTCAGTTTAGTGCACATACTTATTGTTTTTAATGGCCATATAGTAGTCTACTCCACTTATACTCAATTATTGTCCCCTCTGAGTGAAACTTGTCCAAGGTTTCTCGGTGAGACCTGCCTGGCCATTCTAAGATTGCGTCTTTCCATACACTACATTCCCTCTCCCTGTTTATTTCTCTCTCTGACTGTGGCATCATCAAACATAATCTTTATTCATTTTACTTCTTTGTCTTTTCTGTGCCTACAGTAGTGGCTGGGAGATAGTAGGCATTCAGGGCACATTTGTTGAATGAATAGTAGGTGTTCTTGTTAAAAGTCAGTTTATGAGGCACTTTTCGTATACTGTATCTCATTTATCCTGCAGCCATGCTGTAAGGGAGCTGTTGTTAGCCCATTTCACTCCGTGAATTGAAGCTGAAAGATGTGACTTTCTCAGGGCCAGATAAGTTAGTGGCAGAGCTGGGATTTAAATCTCACAGCTTTTCAGATCTACCACTTTTGCTTCTAAATCACTGCTCTTGCTAAGAGGTCTTTAGTAGCCTGTGGTCTGTATGTATAACACATTTTAGCCAAATAGAAAGTATAACACGTTTTAAATTCAGATGTTAGCTATACTGAAATAAAAGCCATCTAAATGAGATTTTTAAAATAATAAAATTTTCCTTTTTCTTGGAGTTAAGGTGACTTTATAATTTGTTTTTGTATGCTTTGATTTTTTGGTATTGGGTTTCTCTTTTTTTATCTTTTTATTATGACTATCACACATACGTAGAAATAGTTGTTTTTTAGTTACAGTCAGTAAATTTATCAAATTCTCCATTTATTCAAATATATGAAAGTAAATAACAGTTCATAATCTAATGAAGATTGATGTCTTCCTATTCCTGAAATGAGGGATATGGTCATGTTTCTCTTTTTTAATGGTGTATATAGTAACTTCATCTCTGAAAATCCTTATATTGGGACAAGAGTAACCAGATAATGCTGCATCTGATCCTCTTACCTGTGTCTTTGTATATAAAGGTGGTTTTGCTCACTTCTCCTTTCCTGTTTTTCTGAGTTCATCTGTTTTGCTGTGTCATGACAAAGGCCTGTTTTAGCTCCAGTTTTGACTTTCCTGTAGATCCCTTTGTTTGTACTTTGGAAACCTCTCCTGCTTAACTCCTGAATCTTCATTCCTAGTCTTTTGCATGAAGGTCTGTGGGGTAGAAGCTGTCACAGGTCCTTCTTTGTACTTGGCCCCTTGCTATTTGTGAGGAGTCTCCTTAGCTGTTCACAGTGCATGGCGAGGTTTGAGATCCCTTCTGCCGCTTGGCACTGCTGGGCTGGGTGCAAAGGTGTCCCCATGCTCTGGTTGCCAGATCAGGTTTTAGATCCACAAACTGCTGTTCGTGATTTTGCTGTGGTTGAGCCATGGGGCCCTCCATGTTCCTCAAGAAGCAGCTTTGCTGCCGTGAATATTCTGAACACATGCTGGCTTCAGCACCAAGGGTAAAGCCACACTTAGAGCTTGGAAGACGTGAGTGCGACTTGGCAAAATGTGGGAGCAGCTTTTCCTCAGATTTCTGTGAGCCTAACTGGTTATTGCAGATAAAGGCAAAGAGATGTTAGAATAAAAAGTAGAGTAGTTTTGTTTTTCTAAATAGCAACTTTGGGAATGAAAAATAATCATAATTGCACGTCCTTGACAGATAATGTCTTATTTTTCTTCTCTTCCAGAGCTTGTTTATTCCATACTCAATTTTTACGTAATTGAAATTTATTATGTAGAAGTACTTTTTGGGTATTATTTCGTATATGTTTTTTCATGTAACTCCTGATTGCTTCCGTATCATATTTTTCCTCTGGCTTCTTTCAAGATTGTACTGGTTTTGAGTGATTTGATTTTGATGTACCTTTCCTTATGTTTCTTGTACCTGGATTTGTTGAACTTCTTTTTTTTTTAAGATTTTATTTTCCCTTTTTCTCCCCAAAGCCCCCCAGAACATAGTTGTGTATTTTTAGTTGTGGGTCCTTCTGTTGTGGCATGTGGGATGCCACCTCAGCATGGCTTGATGAGTGGTGCCATGTCTGCACCCAGGATTCGAACCAGTGAAACCCTGGGCCGCCAAAGCAGAGTGCACAAATTTAACCACTTGGCCATGGGGCCGGCCCCTGTTGAACTTCTTAGATCTATGGTTTTATAGTTTTTTTGAAGTTTGGGAAATTTTTGGCCATTATCTCTTCAAATATTTTTTCTGCCCCTGCCCAATCCTTTTTCTTCTCTTCTAAGGGGACTCTAATTACCTGCATATTTGGTTACTTAAAGTTGTCCTATAGCTCACTCATGCTCTTTTCAATTTTTTGATTGTTTTATCTCTGTGTTTACTTCTGTATAGTTTGCATTGCTGTGTCTTCAAGTTCTCTGATCTTTTCTGCAGTGTCTAATCTGATGTTAATCCCATCCAGTGTTTATTTCATCAACAGCATTTTAGTTTTCATCTCTGTAAGTCTGATTTGACTGCTTTATCTCCTGTAACTCTAACTTTTTTGAGCACATAGAATATAGTTGTAATAACTTTAATGTCCTCTGCTAATTCTGAAATCTTGTCATTCTAGGTGGTTTTTGATTGATTGATTATAGTCCTCATTGTGGATCATGTATTTCCTACCTGTTTGCATGCCTGGCAATCTTTGATCAGATGTTAGTCATTGTGAATTTTGCTTTCTTGGGTGCTAGGCATTTTTGTATTCCTGTAAATCTTCTTGAGCTTTATTCTGAGATACAGTTAAGTTATGTCAAAACAGTTTATTCTTGAGTCTCGCTTCTATGGTGTTAGATGGGTTGGAGCAGTGCTTAGTCTAGGCCTAATTATTCCCGCCACTGAGGCAAGAGCTTCCTGGGTACTCTACCCAGTCTGGCTAGTGAGAACAGTAACTGTTCCAGCCCTCTGCGAGCACGACCACTGCTGCCTGCAATCTGCTTTGTTGAGTTTTCCCTGGCTGTAGGTAGTTTCCTCACACACACACGTTGATCATTTCCCTGCTGAATACTTGAGGGTGCCTCCCCAGATCGCCAGGGTTTTCTCTGCACAGTTCTCTCTTCTCTGGTACTCTGTCCTGTGAACCTTCAATGTCTCAGTTTCCCTGGGCTCCCCACCCCTCCTCAACTCAGGGTGTCCCCTGGGCTCTGCTCTGTCCTTCTTCCTTGTGCCATGACCTGGAAACTCTTAGGACAGTGAGCTGGGGCAGTCACAGGGTTCACCTCATTTGTTTCCTGTCTCTCAGGATCACTGTTTTTCAGTGGCTGATGTTCCATGTCCTGGAACCGTGGTTTCATATATTGTATCTGGGTTTTTTGGTTGTTTGGGTGGAGAGTAAATCTAGTCCCTCTTCCCCTGCTTTGGCCAGGAGTGAAAGTCTCTCCACAATATAGATTAACATTTGTGCCAGGGACATGTTTCCCTGTTACTCTGGATGTTCTCAGAAGACCACTAACAGCCTTTCTCAGCTATTTTCAGTGCCTGTTGCAGTTTCTGGTACATACCATGCATTGCATACATGTTTGTTTAGAGATAAGGTCCTTTGTTAGACAAATTAAGATTTGAGAGGCTCTAGTTTAATTCTTTCAGTTAGCATTTATTAGATTATCTGCTATGAGCTATTGAAAACAAAAAGTGACATGTGACAAATTCAACCCTGCAACGTACAACCTTGAACATTTAGACTCTATTTTTAGAGTAAATGAGTTATTTAAAAAATATGATCCTTGAGTGTTTGAAACCATCAAGTCTGTTGCTTTTTGGTATAGGAAATTATATCAAACAAATGAAGTGAGAGACATTTTCAGTCTAATTGGTGTGATTTTTAGCCAAGCTGATAGAAGCAGTAGCTGGCGACCAGGGAGATAATGAGAACGTGTGCCATTGATGCAGTGCCTGGACTGGTGGCATTCTGGGAGTTCATTTCTTCATCCTCCTTGGTTTCTAAAGAGCCCATGAGATGCTTTAGATCTCATCTTTGAAGCCGGTAAAAGTCGTTTGTGAGAATAGTCATGTGAGGGCAGTCATTTTGGTCATTTTTGCAGATTTCTGTAAGATGCTTCTAGGACTTTTTTTAGTAAATCACACATAGTGTATTAGTATTACATTCAGCCGAACATTTGTAGGGGCTCCAAAATGCAGGGCTTTCAACTCCTTTGTATGCTGAGTTCCTGCACTGAGAACAGGGCTGGATGCAGAGTGGGCAGTGGACGCTTGATGAATGGTTACTGAACAGATGAACAAAGGAATGAATTAATATATAAATGTATGAAAGAATGGTTGAAATATAGCTGGTTAGGTTTTAATACTTTTTATTGACTTTCTCTGTTCACAATAAATTGAAAACCTTCCTCTGATTTTCCTCTGATGTTTACTAATGTACACAATTTAAATGGAAGCTATCTCGTGTCTATGATTTCTGTCTGGGATTCACAACAATAGTAGGTCATCTGTGAGTCACTTGCTTTAATGTCTTACTACTTACTGTTTCCCAGTGTGTTGAAGAGATTCTGGGATATCTGAAATCCTGCTTCAGTCGAGAACCAATGATGGCAACTGTTTGTGTTCAACAGGTAAGAAAGTAGTTTCCTGTCTTTTTCTTTTAAGTCCTTCACTCCAGGCATGATGATATAAAGCTGCTTGTCATTTAGAAGGTAGTGCTGGTGGTGTGTCTGGCCACTTGACAGGAGCCACTTGTCAATCCTTTGCTCACTCCATTATTGGGCCAAAGAGATCTTCTTCCCTCACTGTCCAGGAGGAGCCCTCATTACCGTGGAGGGCAGAGGCTATTAGAAGGTCTGTTGGAGTCTCTACTTAACTGTTCTCTTAGTGTCCCTCCAGGTTTTTGTTTAGAGTACTGAGTCTCATTTAAAATCACAGAGAGACCTGAAACTGCAAGGGTTCTTATTTAAGGTATAAACAGAACTTCATAACAGCAGTCTCATAAGGTATTAATAGTGATTCTCAACCAGAATTTCACAATCTGAATTTTTACTAATATATCCAGTTATTTATGGATAGATTTGATATTTGTGTGGGAAATTCTTAAGTGTTGCTCATGCTGCGTTAAGTCAAATGTTGATGGCTTCACTTCTTTCACTCTAGTTGTTGAAGACTCTCTTTGGGACAAACTTAGCCTCCCAGTTTGATGGCTTGTCTTCCAACCCCAGCAAGTCTCAAGGCCGAGCACAGCGCCTTGGCTCTTCCAGCGTGAGGCCAGGCTTGTACCACTACTGCTTCATGGCTCCATACACCCACTTCACCCAGGCCTTAGCCGACGCCAGCCTGAGGAACATGGTGCAGGCGGAGCAGGATCACGACACCTCAGGGTAACAGTGCGCCTGTCCTGGCTGTGGCAGTAGTATCAGGAACATCTTTGGTAGAAACATGAAGGAGCAAGCAGTGAATAATTTATAAAACATAAAAATAAATTAGCCAACATCTTCTAATAGTCTACTATGTTCAAAGAATTCTAGAAAATATGGTTGCTGCAAAGATGCTGAAGGCATGGCCCTGCCTTCAAAGAAATGTCTGGTCCAGTGAGTGAGATGGGATTTGAGAGATTATACCATCTCAGAGGGGCTGAGCTGGAGGAAGAGGAATACCGAGCAGGCTCCCTGTGAAACAGCCAACTCTCACTGTCAAAATATGTCCACAAACCAAAACGGCGATATGTAATGTCCTCATGTATTTAAAGCACATCATTATTTCCCAGTGCTCATAAACAACATTTTCCTTTACAGTGAAGTGCTATGTGCAGGTGGCACGTTTTGGGTCTCTAACTAAGGTGACAGACCAGCTTCCACATGGCACAGTGGTGCTAGTGTGTAAAGGGATTCGAAGGGCATAGAAGAGTCTTGGATAATATTACTTTGTGTTTTGTAACTTTATGGCTGAAAGTCTCTTTTCATGTAAGCTTATGGTCGTGTTTTTGATGCCTGGAATACAGTAGTTGTCTCTTAAATTACCATAATTATTAGCAGATGTTTGAAGTACTACTCTGTATGGTTTCAGTAGAATTCCTTGTTTTTCCTTTGATAGATGTAGTGATAAAACAGGTACAGTTAAAATGCTGGAGTCAGGAACCAAGGAAAAGGCCTGTATTCCGGGCTTTATGTTGGTGACGCACTAACTATATATCCAAGTCTCAGGAACAAGGAGGCTCTTTAAATACTTTGTTTAGTAATGCGAGTTTAAATAAAAAAACAAGCAAATGTGAGTGTGTGTATTACTGTTTAATTTTGTATGTATTTCTTAAAAAGAAAAGGGTATAATTGATACAAATATTTAAAGATACTTTTTTCCAAGAAAATCAAGCAATGTCTTTTAAATCACTGGATCTGTCCAATGACTGTCACCTTTCTAGCCCCACTACAGACTAGGCTGAGTAGTGAGTTTCCTGTAGCAGAGGAAAGCTCTGTCTTGAGTGGCCTGCCCCAGCTGACAAGATTTGATGGCTGTCAGTCAACTGTAAACTCTCAGTTTAGTCTAATTCTCTTCATTAAAAGAAGAGCACGATGCCTCTACATGGAGTGGCCGAGAAAGTTCTTTCTGACTTTGAAGTGTTCTGATTCCGTGAATATGCATTAGTTCGACCTGGAGTATAGCTGAGTACATAGGAGAGTATTTAAGGGTATTCTTTGCTCGCCTGTTTTTGTATCCGGCAGGTGGTTTGATGTACTCCAGAAAGTGTCTACCCAACTGAAGACAAACCTCACGAGCGTCACAAAGAACCGTGCAGATAAGGTAAATAGGAGCCGGCAGGTGAATGCGTGGCTGCGTTAATGCTCAATGGAAAATTGAGCTTGAGACTTTCCAGGTTGGTTACTTGAAGCTTTTAGTTGAAGACTCATGGATTCTCTCTTTCTTTCTTTTTCGTAGAATGCTATTCATAATCACATTCGTTTATTTGAGCCTCTTGTTATAAAAGCTTTAAAACAGTACACTACAACAACATCTGTACAGTTACAGAAGCAGGTTTTGGATTTACTGGCACAGCTGGTTCAGTTACGGGTTAATTACTGTCTTCTGGATTCAGATCAGGTTTGTCACTTTTATCTTTCATCTACCTTACCTGTTCATCATTTAATGAAAATTATCTTAAAAAGACACTGAAATCTACCTTAAAGAAATGTGCAGTTTGTTTTTTCCCCACCATTGCTGCCTCTTGTCTGTTTCATGCACTAGTTGATGCAGAATGTCTGGCACATATAGGCCTCGGCAAGTGTTGGCATCCTTGCCCCGAGCTCTCTCCAGTCTGTATTAGGCTGTTTTAGGGTTAGCCTTTACAAATTTGCCAAAAGTTTCTCCCATTCACTCAGCCCTCCCCCTGCGCCCCCCACTCCATGATAAATTTTAGTTTAAATCGTAAGACATAATTAAGATTTATTGTTTTGGAGGACATTTTTGCAAAATGCAGAGACTTATTTTAAACAGATTACCAATTATGTTTTCTGTTTCAAGCAGTCTAAAGTTAGCTCACCTCTTTAAATAGGAATGTGATCTGATGGGACAGTAACTGATACCCGTGCTCCTGGATTCCCACATGGGTAATTGTCTGACCTAGCACACGTTATTTGCACTCACTTTCACCAGGTGGGACTCTCAGCTGCCCGTCTTCCTCATGGGGCTGCTCCTCAGGAGGTTGTGACTCTGGCAAGTTGTACAACTTTGTGATGCAAATTGTCTTAAAGCCAGCTAAATTCACTACAGATACAGTTGCCCTTAGGTCATCAAAACGTGACTGTCGTTTTTGGACTGTGATCTTGGGCTACTTTCCTATGTGAGGTAGGACATTTTTTGAGATAGAAATACTACACTGCTCCATTTCCTTCTAGACATAACTATGTCTGTAGATACTGTCAGTACTGTCACTCACCGTAAAGGGTCTCTTTCCCCAAGAGAAACAAGAAAACATGTTTAAGATGCTGATTTCCCCACAAGTGGTTTTAAGGGAGTTAACTTCTGATGAAAGACGGCTTGAAGGGGGGCTTTGCCTTGGCCTGACGTTTTCACTCATACTTCTTTTCCTTCAGTTATCAGAAGAAAATTGTCCAAAAGGTCCTTTTCCTTCTTTGGGGAAGACACTCATTGGGGGATGATTTGGGACATCATTTTCCTTCCTCTGACATGAGACAGGAGGCTGCGTGAGGAGAAGCCCTGGCCTGAAGCGGTGGGCGGGAGAAGGAGGCGGGCACATGGGGCAGATGACAGGAGCATAACGAATGAGGGGGGCTCCCAGGGCTTCCCGGAAAGGAGCCTCAGCTCCAAGGGGAAGCCAGAGCCATTGATTCGAGAACACATCAAAGACTGCATTCCACCCTTTGCTCACAGTTTCCCAGTTCTGACTCATCACAGGTAGAAACTGATGTTCTCATTTGGTACTTATAGACAGGTCTCTTTGGGGGCTGTCTTTAGTAGACAAAGAAAACAAACAGCTCCCCACTCTAGCATAGAATTGTCAGGTGGACTTGACTTTTATCAAATTCTTTGCTTAATCATTCTATGTAGAGCCTTCTAAAAAATGGAATAATTTTTGTTGCTTTCTTCTATCTTTCTAAACTCTCCACTCAGTACTTAAATGTTGAGAGAGGATAGATAGCCTCAGCATTCTCCCTGTGCGCTTGTCTCTGCAGAGAGTTGAGCTCATCTGTAGCTCGTGCTTCCTCTGGGTCCTGGCACTTTCTGCCTCACTCCAACGAAGCGATTCCCAGCGACCTCTTACTTGGCAGTGTTAGGTTTTTCTTGCTGTGGACGCTCTAGCCTCTCACAATTGTTCTGATTTGCTTTTATCACTCAGTGGCCTTTCTCCCCAGTTCTTAGAATTCAGTATAGTGACAGTTTTTTATGAACAAGGATGGGAAACTAGAACAGGCAGATGATTGAACTCAATTCAGATGTGCTGTGTTGAGCACCTGTTGTCTGTCTGTATCCAGGTGCTAGGAGAAAACAGTGGAGTGGAGATGGAAGTGCCATGCTTCAGGCTAGAGAGAGCAAATGGTTGCTTGGAACAGAGTTCAATGCAAAACTGTCTCTAATCCAGTCCTGACGCACTGCGTGTGCTCCTCAAGGCCATCTCTCACCTCTCAGCACCCCCCCAGAGTTGGGCTCCTTTGAATGTCAGGCTGTGGGAGGGAGAAGATAGACTAATTTGGGCATTTTATTACTAAATCAGCTTCAGGAAATCTGTGCTGCTTGGTTTGCCATGCACTGGAACAAACACATCCCCAAGATGTGTCTTTTGGGTACTTCCTGCTATCTCCTGGAGCTCATTATTTGTTTTTCTAGAGAGGTCTCTCCTCAGTGTTCAGTCAGTGTGTTTAAAGGGATTTCTGGAAGCGTCCTGAAGTTATCTAGTCTGACAGTAGAGTACATTTGAGTTCTTATATACAAACAAATTTATCTACTATCAGGAAACTTGTTAAAAATTTACACGAGTAGGAAGAAAAGTAACCTGGTTTGCACGTTTTAATTATTGGTGTGAAGATTTTATTTTCCTGCTTGTAGGTGTTTATTGGATTTGTGCTGAAGCAGTTTGAATACATTGAAGTGGGCCAGTTCAGGTAATAGCATTTTGTTATTTTAGATTTCTTGTCCTTGTTGTGAGCTTACATGTAGTTTTGGATTATTTAGATGAACATTTACTTTAAAGGATTGTTAGGCATTTTTGCTAGGTATTTTGTAATGGAAATCAGATTAACATGTTGTGCATTTTTGTTTCTTTTAAAAATTAATGAATAAGTATCTCAAGACTTGTTTAGTGGTAGTTCTGCATCTGGTAATCACATATGTTGTCAGTTTTTCATTTCACATTTCAAAGCACTTAATTATGATAATAGATTGCTAAATGAAATCTCAAATGATAGAACACGAATTTTTTAAGTCTTCTTAGAGACAACATTTTTTAGATATGGTTATCTTAAGTAAAGTAATTGTTATGCACTTATATTAATTGCAGCTTTCCTTGCTAGACAGTAAGGTTTTAATACTTCCTCCTATGCCAGCTATAGCTGTATAATGATTAAAAATTAAAATTTTTAGTTTCTGAACTACTTAATGAATAGTTAGGGAAATGTTGTGCAGAAAGAAAGTGTTCTGAGCGCCCCTTGGGCTGTAGAGACGGTTCCTTATTCTAGTTATGCCACACATTGACTCTGATTGGAGGCAAGTTACTTTTTCTCCTTTGAGGGTCAGTTTCCTCACTTCGGAGTGAAGGGGCAGAAGGAGAACTAAGATTGTATCTGTGGGCATCCAGCGCTGTTGGGTACCTTCTCCAGCTCTGCCTTAGCCCTGCCAACTGCCCAGGCTCTCCAAGTGGGCAGAGTAGATGCACTTCATAGTTGAGAAGGCGTGATGATGTTGATGGGACTGAATTACATCACTCAGACTCCTTTAGCTTAATGTGTACTCTCTCTGCCTTGCTCTGTCCCTTTCTCTCACTCAGTGTCTTTCAACTTTGAATCATGAGTAATTTCATGTTGTTCATATTGATTATGTATTTTAATTTTAAAAGGAAATGTCTAAATGGATTTTTTTGTTTCTAGGGAATCAGAGGCAATTATCCCAAACATCTTTTTCTTCCTGGTATTACTATCTTATGAACGCTATCATTCAAAACAGATCATCGGAATTCCCAAAATCATTCAGCTCTGTGATGGCATCATGGCCAGTGGGAGGAAGGCTGTGACACATGGTAATGAGACCAGCCTTTTACTGTGGCCCTCAGTAATCATGATGTGCTCAACAGTGTTAGTCTTAGTTACACCAGCTTCCCCCCATGTGCATAACTGCTCTGTGCTTCGGGGGCTCTGTGTGCGTGCATGGGTGTGTGTGCATACGTTGGTTAGAGAGGTTAAAAAAAAGAGAGAGCACATTCTTTACTCAGGAGTTTATAATCCACTTAGGTAAAAATATAAAGAAAAGGAAGATGATCTAAGGTACAGATGGAGTCTGACATAAGTACTCTTGTCTATCCATACAAAACGTAAAAATTTAAAAATCCCAACTTATATAAGGACACTTGGTTTATTATCCAGTGGTATTAGAAGTTAAAGTTTGGCCTTGATTCAGCACCTGTCGTTTTGCCTGGTTGTTTTATAGCAGCTTAAATGAGGACCACAGAAAATGGTCAGCTGCTCAAGCAGCCTCCTTCCAACCTGTAGATTGAGCTTGTGTGGTTTTAAGAATGAGCTGTAAATCTTTCTTTGAACTTTTTTTTTTTGAGGAAGATTAGCCCTGAGCTAATATCCATGCCATTCCTCCTCTTTACACTGAGGAAGACTGGGCCTGAGCTAACATCCCTGCCCATCTTCCTCTACTTTATATGTGGGACGCCTGCTACAGCATGGCTTGACAAAGTTTGTAGGTCCATACCCAGAATCCAAACTGGCGAACCCTGGGCCGCCAAATTGGAGTGCAGGAACTCAACTGCTGTGCCACCAAGCCAGCCTCTTTTCTTTGAGCTTTTTAAACTGATCTTCCAGCATTTTCCTACTGACTCCTCTCTGGCCCCATTGTCAGGAATCTGTAGGCTTTTGGGGGGTGGGGCACAGGGGGCCCACCTCCTTAGACCTTTGCAAACCCCAGAAGTGAGAACAGTGCTGCCACATATCACATTCTCCATTGGGGCATTTGCAGTAGAGCAGATGACTGAGCTTTGTTGAGAGGTTGGGGCTTGGTGCCATCCCACTTTCCACACTAGCTAAAGCGTCACCTTTGCCACAGCCTCACAAGGGCTGAAGTTCATGCCTCAGCAAAAGTACACATTTCTACATATATGGACGTTAGGTTCCCTGGATATAGTTGAAAGTGAAAATGTCAAACAGATGGATGAATAAGGTTTCCTGGATTAAGGGTCTTTGGATAGAAAATCCATAGGCAGCCAAACCCTACTTTCTAGTAGAAAGCTAGGTCATCTCTGGAAAAGTCAGCAAGTGTGCTGTGTGTGCATGTCACTGAGGATGAGTGTGCCTGTGTTGCATGTCAGTGAGGGTATGTGCCTGTGTGTGTGTGTCCCTGCGGGTGAGTGCGCCCGTGGTGCTTGTCACGGAGGGTGTGTATGCCTGCGGTACATGTCACTAGGGTGAGACAGCATGCCAGTCAATAATCTTGGGGACGTGATCTGGCGGAACCCTTCCCAATGAAACTCATTTCTTAGTTTATTCATGTGGTGGTGTTAAAAGAATTTACAGTCATACATTGCATAACAACATTTCAGTCAAGGTGGACTCCATAGATGATGGTGGTCCCATGAGATTTAGTACCATATAGCCTAGGTGTGTAGTAGGCTGTACCATCTAGGTTACGTAAGTACACTCTATGATGTTTGCACAATGATGCAATCGCCCAATGACGCAGTTCTCGGAATATATCCCCCTCATTAAACGGTGCATGACTGTACTTTGCTGTTTTGGATAAAGACTAGACTTGGGGGGTAAATCCTTTACCTAATTACTTAAAATAGCATAGAAATCTAATACTTTGAATGTTTTCTATTAAAGAAGAATTTGTTGTCTGTTCAGGTAAATCTGTACGTCCATTATGCATGAGAATAGAATGTTGTTAGTTAGTTGGAAGGTTTTATTATTTTGAATTTGACTTTGAATTTGTGTCTCTTTTTGTCAGAAGTGATATGTTATAGAAACGCTGTTTTTTTGTTTTGTAAGATTTCACAAAATTATCAGTAATTGTCCGAGGAAGACCATGGCCTGCTATGAAGGTATACTGATAATTTCGCAGCACTTTTTGGTAACCTTAATTTATCCCTTATCGTGAACCAAGTATGGATTAGGGTTTCTTTATTTCTTGAAAATATTTTGGAGATGTTGAGCGCTGTCTTCCAAATGTAAGTGTCACATAATGCCTTCTTAATATGCCCTTTCATACCCACAGCCATACCAGCTCTGCAGCCCATAGTCCATGACCTCTTCGTATTAAGAGGAACCAATAAAGCTGATGCAGGAAAAGAGCTTGAAACCCAAAAAGAGGTGGTGGTGTCAATGTTACTGAGACTCATCCAGTACCATCAGGTGAGAGGAGAAAAGGAATGGTTGCTGATACTTCATTGTCTCTGCAGGGACCCTGCTGTCTGTTCATCATGAGTGTTGCTTTGTGCCAGCCCTGGGCTCTCGGGCTGGGGAGATGCCAGGGAGACAGAAGGTTTGGTAGGGGTCTGTCTTTAAAGCAGCACAGCCACGTGGGGAGGCCACCTGATACCTGGCTGACAGTCACAAGATCTTTCAAGGGAGTAAATATGGTTAAGGCCCTCTTTTCCAAAGTGAGGACCAAAAATCAATTAATTGACAACATTGATCAAAAGGGTAGAATTCTAAAAAATGATTTAAAAGATCTCAAATTTGAAATAACTTAAAGACTTTATTTATACATTTATTTACCACTATTTTGATGTAGGACCAAGGTCTTTTTCTTTGAGCTGGTTCTGGCTTTGTTTTCCTTAAGGTGGAGGAGAATTTCAGATAGTTTGAGTGCAGCCTGAGTGCGGAAATGTGGCATTTCAATGACTTCTCTCTTTTGGCTGGTCCAGTTGCCCACCCCATACTTACTTTGGTGATTCTTTAGCTATTTGTCTTTGAATCTTGATAAAGTCATGAGCTTTTCTCATAGAAACACTTCCTTTGTGCATTCTCATTTTGGTTAACCTGGATAATATTTAATTAAGTGCTTACTGTTTAATTAAATCCCATAATTAAAATAAAAAGTACAACTACCATAAAGAGGTTTGAGAACCAGCAACTGACTCTTGGCAAGCATGCTGTGTTGGTGGGAGGCCTAGAGAGTGGCTTATCAGCTGCATGCTTTCCAAGAGTTCTCAGCCTGGTTCAGGAGAGAACAGAGAGGGTCGGCTAGGCTTTGTTAGGGAGAGTCAGAATTAAATGCAGATGTCCCTCAAGTAGCTTATATGAGGGACAATCCGTTGTAGAAGCTCTGCCCGAGAAGGCTGCTGTGGGAAGGGGTGGTCGGGCAGGCTGTAGAGAGAGTGGGCTTAGATGTCTCCTTCTTTATAGTAGTTATATTTTATAGACGAGGCCGGCAACTTTTTCTGTAAACGAGCAGATAAATATTTTAAAGCTTTGCAGGCGATGTGGTGTCTGTGACTACTCACGTCTGCTGTTGTGGATGAAAGCAGTCCTAGTCCTTATGTTCACAAAAGGGTATGACTGTGTGCCAATAAAACTTTATTTACAAAACAGGCCTTTGGATATATCTCTCTGTAGAAATGAGCACTAGTGAACTTATGCTCAACCATGACTCTTCTGACAGTAAGTACCACTCAGTAGAGGTTACCTTTACAAAGAACACAGACTTGAAATTCATGTACACAAAAGTTATGAGGCATCTGCAGAATAGTTTAGTCCAGGCTGTGTTTGTGTTTTGCCAAAGATTAATATGAGTGTGATTTTTCTTTTTGTACCTTTTCTCTGATTGTGAAGTCTTGTAATTTCCATAGAAATAATAGTGATGCTGAGTCATCCTGAGTAGTGTGCAGCGTGAGCCTACCGTTGAGGAGTTTGCTCCCTTACCCCTTGCGTCGTCTTCTGGTTTCCCCACATCTCGCGTGTCCCAGGGCCAGGGTTGCATCTGGTTCATCAGGCCCTCTCTGGGGACCCTGTTGTTTTGGATCGTGGAGTCTTTCAGCTGAGCTGGGATGAGTGCAAGATGAAGCATGTGGTGATGGACGGGAGACTCGGCCGGGAGCCTTTATGACTGTGCCACTACACTCCTTGCAGGTGTTGGAGATGTTTATTCTAGTCTTGCAGCAGTGCCACAAGGAGAACGAAGACAAGTGGAAACGGCTGTCTCGACAGATAGCCGACATCATCCTCCCGATGTTAGCCAAACAACAGGTTTGTCACCCCGTCTTGCCTCGTTGTTGTGGAGCCATTGTGACGCATTTGTAAGTGGGTGAAGATCCTTGGAGGAGGTGGGCGCTGGTGATTGGATTTTCATTAAATCATAATAGATTCATTTTATGATGGTTATCGGTGTCCATCATGAGCCAAGGGATTTTTCGTTTATTCTCTCAGTGACCCTCTCAGGTTGCTGTTGTCTCCTGCTTTAGAATTGCAGAACGCTGGGCTCAGAGATGTTGTCTACGTTACCCAAAGGTGCACAGCTGGAAAGTACTGGGACTAGAGTTAAGCCAGTCTGACTCCAGAGTGTGTGTTCTCTCCTATTTTACAACACTGCCTCCCTCATTCTGGTCAATTGGATGTTTTTGTTTGATCTGTGGGTGTTTATTTTTCTTTATCACTTATAAAGTAATTTAGCAGTTATCCGTCGTTTAATCAGAATTTCTGTAATCAAATGATGCAATCAGTTGTTTCCAGAAACACAGTGAAAGGAAGTGTTCTGGCCATGCCATTTAGGATGGAGCCCAATAATCACGTGGTTTCTGAACCATGTCTGCTGCCAGGCGTCACAGGGCAGGATACTTGGCACCTGCTGCAGCAACACCTTTGTGACCAGAGTGGGGGTCTCGTAGGGTGGCAGGGGCTTCCTGAAGGTGGTCCCTCTAGGAAACCTCGCCAGCTGCCCACAAAGCTCTTGGTCTTAAGAGCTTTGGATGCAGTCAGCAGATACCTGTTTGTTCATCTTGATCATCCTGGCTAAGGAACACAGTGTTCATGGCTTTTGGCATTCGATGAAAAAGTATAGGTAGGCACACTGCATTAGTAGTTACTGTCTTCATAACTTCACCCCCATTCTGGTTTTTGACAGATTTGTTATTCCAAGGTCACTTAGATAGAGGGAGGAGAGTCTTGGCTTCTGGTGAGATTGATGGATGGCAGTTTTAATAAATTGATGGATTTGGTGTTTTAATGTAGTCATGTATTCCATGCCTGTAGATAAATAGTTTCAGAGTACTACTCTATAAGTTTTATTCCATTCTCTTACTTATCGTGGACACAATCTGGGGAAGGTGGAGGTTAAAGACTGAATGCATGGTAAATGCCCAACTTAATTTCTGCGACTGTGAAATTGTGTGAAAGCCTGCCTCGTAGCTTAGCACAGGTGCATGTGACATTCAGAAATAGTGCCAGGCACTATTCCAGGTACTAGCGGAGGGCTGGCCCTGTGGCGCAGCGGTTACGTTTGCACGTTCTGCTTCAGTGGCCCAGGGTTCACTTGTTGGGATCCCGGGTGCGGACATGGCACTGCTTGGCAAGCCATACTGTGGTAGGCGTCCCACATATAAAGTAGAGGAAGATGGGCATGGATGTTAGCTCAGGGCCAGTCTTCCTCAGCAAAAAGAGGAGGATTGGCAGTAGATGTTAGCTCAGGGCTACTCTTCCTCAAAAAAAAAAACTTACCAGGTACTAGCAGAGATACATCAGTGAACAGAGCCAGTAAAAAACCCTGCCCTCTTGGAGTGAAAGTTGCATTGGAATGAAGGGTGGAGGAGACAGACAGCAGAAAAATAAACTAGTAAAGTATATAAAATGTCAGATGGTAATAAGTACTATGTAGAAAATGAAGGAGAGAAGAGAGTTGGGCACGTCAGGGAGGGGTTGCATTGTTAAGTTGGTTTGGTTTTTGAGTGAACTTGAAGGAAGTAAAGGATGAGCCAAACAGATACCTGGGGAAAGAGCTTTCTAGACAGAAAATGGCAGTGCAGACCCTGAGGTGGGAACATGGCTGTTAGGATTGAAGAGCAGGAAGAGGCTGGTGTGGGTGGAGGGAGCACCAGCGGGGAGAAGGGAAGGAAGCAAGGGGCCTGGGAAAGTGAGGGGTCATGTAGCATCTTTCTGGCCAGCGTGGAGGACTTTGAGGGGCCTGGGAAAGTGAGGGGTCATGTAGCATCTTTCTGGCCAGCGTGGAGGACTTTGAGAAGCCTTCAGAGGGTTTAGTACAAAGGAGTGGCGTGGTCTGATTTGAGAGTTGAGACTAGACCCCGAGGGGTCGGTGAGGGCAGAGCAGGGAGATCCACTTGAGGCACGGGAGTGGTGTGGACCAGGATGGTGGGAGTGAAGTGACAAGAAGTGGTCATCTGCTGGGTAGAATTTGAAGGTAGAACCAGAACCAGTAAACTTTGACGATGTGGGATGTGAGAGAGGGGTATGCAGGTGATTTCAGGGTAATATAGGGCTGCTGTGTTCAAGGTGAGGGAGACTATAGGAGGTATGGATTTGTGGAGGAGGTCACAGCGTGGTCTGGGTATGTTCAGTTGGTACACCTGATTAGGCACTTTGGGGAGGCGGAGGAGGGCATTTGGATATATGAGTCTGGAGTTGTCCAGAGAGAGCTGGGCAGGAGGTGAACATTTGAGACTGGACGAGGTCACAGTGGGACCCAGTGTAGCTTGGGAGGAGGAGAAGGCCAAGCTCTGAGCCGGGGGCAACCCCAGATTAGAGGCTAGAGAGGTGAGGGGGAGCCCACAGAGGAGACAGGGAAGGACCAGCCAGTGCGGGAAAAGAAGAGCAGGCAGCTGTGGTTTTCTTAAAGCCAAGGAAAAAAAGGCATTTCATGGAAGAGGGAGGGGGATCAGCTGGGAGCTGCTGATGGGCCTAATGAATGAGCCCTGGGAACTGACCTGTGTTTGGCAGCACGGAGGTCACTGGGGAACAGTTTTGTTGGAGCAGAGGGAACAGAAGCCCAGCTGGAGTGTGTTCGTGAGAGGAATCAAAGGAGACTTTACTCTAAGGGGGAGTAGATGTGGGGTGGCAGCCGGAGGAGGAAAGAGGGGTAGGTAGAAGGTTGAATTTGGAGAAGGGAGGAGTCTGTGTATACACCAAGGGCGAAAGCAGAGGGGAGTTGGCTGGTACAGGACAGAAATTGCAGTTGTGGTGTCCCTGAGCAGACACCAGACACAGGGTGGGGTTGGCTGCATAACTGGTGGGCCCCGGCTGTGGGCATGGTGAGTCCCCTGGAGAACCTGGAGAGAAGCAGAGTTGGTGGGTGCAGGTTGTTCCTTACCATTAGGGTGCGGCTCAGCGCTGTGTGGTGTTGAGATTTGCACCTTGAAAATCACATCTCTTTACAGATATGATTACTATGTGTAGACACACCCGTTAGTAGTGACAAAAATTGTTAACAGTGCCCATCAATAGGGGAAGGGTTGAATACATTATGGTAGAGACTTAATTTGGAATATTTTGCATCTATTAAAAGTAATGTTAGATTTTAGAAACTGTTGCCTTGGGAGTTCTCCCTTGTATTTTTAAGGGAAAAAAGCAGAAACGTTTATAATATAATCTTTCAAAACAACTTAATACCTCTCCGTGTGTGTGAATATACGATTATAGGAATGTGGAGAAACTTAAGAGAAATATACCAGTTTGTTAACATCTGTTGCTAATTGGCAGGGTAGGGCTGAGGTGCAAGTGAAGCAAAGAGAAAACACATAGTGTGTCTGATACCCTTTTGGGAGCTTATATGTGTATACAGGCTGGATCCCAAAATGTTGATGGTGATTGTATCAGGATGGTGCAATTCCAGTTGATTTTTTCACACTTTTATGTATTTGAATCTTTACAGAAAGCATATTGTTTATGTAATAAAAATCTAAATGAAATTTCCATTGTGGAAAAAACATAGCTGTTACAGTGTTGTTCTAAAAAGCGTTTGCTTGGTTCACTACTAAAGTTAAAATGCATTTAAATGCAGGGTAGTCATGATGGGATGGTCAGGGTCATTTGACCTTGAGATACCTAAGCTGAGGTATAAATGTTGGCATTTGTATTGGCTTATGGGAAAACCTGTGTGACATTTAATTGCAACAGATGCACATTGATTCTCACGAGGCCCTTGGAGTGCTGAACACTTTATTTGAGATCCTGGCCCCTTCCTCCCTGCGCCCCGTGGACATGCTGTTACGGAGTATGTTTGTCACTCCAGATACAATGGTGAGTATCTCACCTCATGATGGCCTCTTGGCGGCCACAACTCTGCAGAGAGGGTTCATCCAAGTCACCTAGGGCCTCTGCCCGGCCAGGTTGGGGCCTGAGAATTTGCATTTTACACAGGTCCCCAGATAGTATTGATGCTGCTGGTCTGGGACCACACTTTGAGAACCAGTAATAGAAAGATTTATTGATAGAATGGTACAGTAGGGATAATTTTCATTCATGAAATTGACAATCAGGAAAAATTTAATCCTCTTTTTTCTTTAGCTATTACTCATTTATTTTCTTTCTTTTAGGCATCTGTCAGCACTGTTCAACTGTGGATATCAGGAATCCTAGCCATTTTGAGAGTTCTAATTTCCCAGTCAACTGAAGATATTGTCCTTTCTCGTATTCAGGAGCTTTCCTTCTCTCCATATTTAATCTCCTGTCCAATAATTAATAGATTAAGAGATGGGGACAGTAATTCAACACCAGAAGAACAAGGTGAAGGGAGACAAGTGAAGAATTTACCAGAAGAAACATTTTCAAGGTATGCTCTATATCTGAACCTTTAGGTAGTCCGTGTCCTTCTGGAGGTCATGTGGTGTTCGTCATCAGTGAGTCTGCAGTTACTCCTCGTCTTTCCTACCTCTGCGAGTTAGGTAAAGAAGTCTGTATCGGTGTGTTTTCTTTACCTGTTCTGCCTCACCTGTGGCCCCTGGTGCCTGCATCTCTTATGGCTCCGTCACATCCTTTCTTGTATCCTTGTTGAAGACAACACAGTGGTCACCAGGCTGGCAGGGGGTGGGGGCAACCTGCCCTGAGTGCAGGCAATAAGGGCGTATGTTGCCTCCAGAGAATTTGAAAACTCGCTAAAAGCCAGCCTTATTTTTAGTCTCACCGTGTGCTGGCCATTCTAAACAGTCAGTAACAAAACACTCTCCCTTTCAGGGTTGACCACTCCCACTGTGCTCCCCTCCGTAACCTTGTGGTATCAAATTGTGACTGCCCTCATAAATTGCTTGGAAGCTTCTTGAGGGCAATGATCCCAGTTCAGGCACTATAAATGCTTGCTGCCTAGACAAGTGTGTATCCACTTGTGCTGGATTCAGGGTACTCACTAAGTAAGAGCTGCTTAGAGGATGTCCTGTGAGTGCAGTTTCTGCAAATGTGCTCCTTCCAGCCGAATCCACCGTAATGGCATTTTAGCTACCCCTTCACTGGTCATCGGTGGAGGTGCCTGCATGTTTGTGGAGATAAATCCAGTAAACCTGCATGGCTCCCTTTTGTCTGTAGGTTTGACAAGTTGGCTCCCTCTGTTACATTTAAGCAGGTGGCTAAAATGGACGATACATAAAATTCCTGTGGTAGATTATCAGCGTGCTTTATGGTTTAGAAAGCTTTAAAGAAACACTAAATGTTACTTTATCCTCCTAAGAGTACCTTGAAGGTGTTGTGATTATTGCCATCTCATAAGTGAGGAAGGTAATATGCAGAGAGGTAAAGGACTTAGTCCAAAGGGATGGTATTAAACATTTCGTTTTGTTTATTCTACTTTACTTATATTTTTACTCTACCTATATCTACTGTAAATGTTTTTACATATATGCCTCACAATAAGAGTAGTCACCTAATTCACCATCACCCTTTTCCCTTTCTTTGAAGGTTTCTACTACAACTGGTTGGCATTCTTTTAGAGGACATTGTTACAAAACAGCTAAAAGTGGAAATGAGTGAGCAGCAACATACCTTCTATTGCCAAGAACTAGGCACGCTGCTGATGTGTCTGATCCACATCTTCAAGTCTGGTAGGTGCATCAGACTAGTCTTCGTAGAGTATCTGCATGTTCCTTCTCTTGCACTGTACACTCAGAGTATAGGAACTGTGCTGTCCAGTGCAAGGTCTGCCCTGCTCATTGAGCATTTGAAAATGTTTATTGATGAAAAGAGGAAACCTGAGGGCTTCCTCCTGTTTTAAAGACTTGGAAGGCCAAGATGTTTTGGTTACCTTTAAACATGACTGTGGATTAAAAAAGGCAGTGAACCCAAGAGAGAAGTCACAAGATGAAAGCCATCCAGCAAGAATGGGAAGCAACCAGTCCATATTAGGACAGTCACTGTTTTCTAAGAGGAATGAGTATTTCAGGAAGAATGCCTCGGGCCAGTCCTGGTGCCCTAGTGGTTAAGTTTAGCGTGTTTTTTGTTTCAGCAGCCCAGGTTTAGTTCCTGGTGTGGACCTACACCACTCTGTTGGTGGCCATACTATGCTGGTGGCCCACTTACTGGAAAATAGAGGAAGATTGGCATGGATGTTAGGGTGAATCTTCCTCAGCAAAAAAAAACAAAGAAGAAGAAGAATGCCTTGCTTTAGATAAAGTAAGTGAGAAGCTGGAAGACTTTAGTTATAGGGTTCAGGCGTATCTTTCTTCTCTTAGCAAGAAAAATGAAAAGCAGTTCTAATCTCTAGGGAAAACAAACAGCAAGGAAGTCATGGTCCAAATATGAACCAAACCAAAATATGACATGATTTTCAGCAGTTGATCTGATGGAAACCATTCTTCTTTAAATGGTTCAGGGGTCATGACCAAGACCTATAGAAAGAGCTATCATCCTTCTAGGCTTCTTCGCTTTGTTGGGAACTATATTCATATCATCATAATGTAAATGCTGTTTGGCTTTTCATTTTTAGAATCAGTGTATGAATAAGACATCAAAGACTTATTTACTTAATTATGGTTTCAGAACAAAATGAAAATGTTTTCAGTTCTGGCAAATATAAAGGGAAACTAACCAACTTAATTTGCAAAGTAGAAGGTAGAGAAAGAGGTGGAGGGATGGAAGGGGCACTAATACTCTCATCTTGCATTGTCGACGCTGTGCAATGATATCTAAAGTTGACAGAACAAAAATAGAGGCCACAAAGATAACCAAATAGAACTGAAAATGCAGCTTAAATTGATAGGAGGGAGCACACGTGAGCTGTCTCATTCTCGAATCGGGTCGAGTCTGTAAATATGACATGGTGGTTGTATTCGGCAGTTTCAGTTGTGGGGATAGGACTCCATCCTAAACTAGAGCGAGAAAAGAAACTGACTGGTTTGAGCTCCTGGAAGTGCGGAGGTAGTTGCTCTCTTTAGGTATGACTGCCTCTGATGGTTTAATTCTGTTGCTCCATCATGTATTTCCACATCTCAGCTCTGATTCCTATGTTGGCTTCATTCTCTGGCGGGCTCCTTCCCCATGGCAGAAAGGATGGCCTCTGTGTGTGTGGTCTCAGCCCCTGCGTGAGTTCTATGAATGGCTCATGAGCCTCTGTGTACTGTGGCCAAGCCAGGCCAGATGAGAGATTAGACAGCATTCCTTTGAGAGGGAGTGTCCCTTCCCGACAGCAAGGGAATTGGAGCAAACAAAATAATTGATGGTCTGCTACAAGTGATAAAAGCTTATCAAGCAGAATTTTGGAGGTAACTACCAGAACTAAAAACAGAATGATAACCAGTAGTTGCCTTAAGAGGGATGGCGCAGGGCACTTTTAAATTAAGATGCCCCTCTCTATTTTATGGGTTTTTAAATCACACATATTTACTACTTTAATACAAATTAAAACACATACACACCAAGTACATGCCTTTAGAGCAAAAGATAGTTACCATTTTGAGCCTATATTCATTCAACAAAGATGTTACCAAGTCAGCCCGCCACTCTGCTGGGCTCTGGCTACACGGTGGTTGGTAAAGCTGATGTGATTCTTGCCTTTGTGGAGCTCACAGTCTAGCGGGGAAGACAACACACAGACATGTAATCACGAGTCTTGATATCTCCTATGAAGGAAACAAATAGTACAGTGACAGACAAAACAGGGTGGGTAGGTAGGGGCTGGTTTCTGAGGGGTGACTTAAGCTAAGACCTGAACAGCGAGGAGCTAGCCTAGAGAGAAGTGTGCTGGCCGAGAGAGCAGCGGAGTGTGTGAGGGCTGAGGGGTGGGAGGGGCGCTGGGGAGGCAGGCAGGGACCTGGTCTTACCTGGCTCAGGAGACATGGAGAAGGAAGTGCTTCATTTAATTGCTAATGCCTCGGCAGCTGAGTGGCCAGAATTTAATTTGCTAATGGACTCTAGTTTCAAGCCACCTCATTTACTAACATTGAAAGAATTTTCTTTTTGAGGATCTTTTGTTTATGCCTCACTGGCCCACTATAATAAGTTTCAAGTTGAGAAAATAATTATGCCTTGTGAATAATCGGTCATTTTTAGTATGTTGGTCATTTTAATATTTGGCCATCGGTTGGTTTGGATCTGACACCAGAGGGCCCCCAGTTCATCTCCAAGGACTGCTTTCTGCCTTTGGATGAGAGTGGTGTGTTTTGTGTCTTTATGCCCATCAGTTTCTGTGCTGTTCAAGGTGTTCACTAACCCATTGCTTTAACTTTCTCTTCTTCCTTTTCTCGTAATCAGGGGAAATATTTTTATAGTCTGTTGCAGCACTGTCCAGCAGAGCTTCCTGCAATGGAAGAAGGTCTGTGTCTGCACCAGTTCAGTTGCCTCCAGCCACATGTGGCTGTTGGGCCACATGGAATATGGTAGTGTGATTGAGTAGCTAGTTTTTATTTGATTTAATTTTAATTAACTTAAATCTGAACAGCCATACGTGACGTGGCTGCCGAATTAGACAGGACAGGTGAGGCAACAGGTCTGACTGAAGAGCCCGGGCTAGGTATTGGGGCACGTGTGTTTTGCTGCTAGTGTCTTTGGACATTGTTCACTTGGTTCAGTATTTGTAAATGAGGGGTGTGTGGTGTGCGTATGTATAAATGTCTATTTCTTTCTTCTCATTGATTTTGACTGCGTTTCTTTTAAAGACACTGGGGGTAGAATTACTGTGTTTGGTGGTTTTGAGATAGTGTTGAAGTCAGTCATCTGGTACTTTTATATAAATAAGGTGCATTTAGTATCTAAAGTTGGTAATTTTTATTTATGCATTGCTTAAATAAAGGCAATGAATTTCACTCCTCCCCTGGAAATTGAGACCTTTGAATTTGTCCGTTTCTCAAAATGAGAACTAGTCAGAATAATGGCCTTGGCATCTAGTTTTCTGTTACCCCTCTTGTTAGGGGAAGGGGTATGATTCCCAAAGTCATTTGCCTATTTCAGTTTTAATCCAGCATAAATGAATAGCCAAGAAAGATACCTGGCCTCCATTTTTACAAAATCTGGGTAACTAATACCCCTTCCTCTCCTCGCAGACAGTGGAGCCTGAGGCATGGGGCTGAGAATATTCGTTGCTTTGTTGCAAGCATGGCTGGATTGAAGCTCTCTAGCCTGTGGCCTCAATAAGGCTTCCTAACTGCTCACTGTGTTTTCCAAGTCCATGTCCTGTGCCCTTCCCCACCGCCATCCAGACATGTAATTGAGGGCAGCAGTGAGCCATAGGGCCATTCCTGATCCTCTGGGAAGCAGGAGCAAGCAGGATGTTACTGCTGCACACTTCCTTCCTTCCTTGTAGGTGGAGCTGGAAGGTTGGACAGCGCTCTCTTCCCAATACTTTCAAAAGGATCAGTGTTCCAGGGCCAGCCCCATGGCCTAGTGGTTAAGTTTGACGTGCTCCGCTTTGGTGGCCCAGGTTCGATTCTCAGGTGCAGATCTACACCACTTGTTGGCAATTATACTGTGACAGTGACCCACATACAAAATAGAGGACAATGGGCACAGATGTTAGCTTGGGGCAAATCTCCCTCAAGCGAAAAGAGGAAGATTGACAACAGGTATTAGCTCAGGGCGAATCTTCCTCAGCAAAAAAAAAAAAAAAAAAAAGAGTCATTGTTCACACTTTATGTATGGGCCAAAGTAGGAATACTGGAAGAAAGAGAAAATGGTTCTTTCTACAATAGTAAAATCCACATTGGTTCAAATTCATTCTTGGGCAAGGATCAGGGCTGCTAGTGGTCATAATGCTGGGAATAAGGGTATTCTCTTATGGGTAGGTGGTACCTTTTATGTGTATTATCCCCATTGATCCTTGGAACAACTCTATGAAATATTTCCCCCTTTTTACTGATGAGACAGTGTACATTCTGAAAGATCATATGGTAAAACCAAGAATGAAAACCCAAGTATTTTTTTCTTGCCCATTATATCATGCTGCTTCTTGGGTGGTAAGTGGATGATGGTAAGCAAAGTAGCTAACGTTTGCAGAGCACTTCCTATGGGCTCAGGCACTGTGTGAAGTACGATTATACCTGTGTTCTAGCTGAAGAAGCTGAGACACAGAGAGATCATGGGGTGGGGTTGGGGTGAAGATCCAGGCCCCTGTCTCCAGAGCCTGAGCTCTGCCCACTTCATCCTATCTGCTTGAAGATGGTACTCTGTCTCCAACTCCTGCTTCCATTATTCCTTTCAATACTTCTTTCTTTCTTTCTTTTTTTTATTGAGGTAATGATAGGTTACAATCTTGTGAAATTTCAGTTGTACGTTATTGTCTGTCAGTCGTGTTGTAAGTGCACCCCTTCACCCTTTGTATCCACCCCCCACCCCACCTTTCCCCCGATAGCCACTAATCTGGTCTCTTTGTCTGCATTTTTAAATTCCTCATATGAGTGGAGTCATACAGGGATTGTCCTTCTCTATCTGGCTTATTTCACTTAACATAATTCTCTCAAGGTCCATCCATGTTGTTGCAAATGGGATGATTTTGTTCTTTTTTATGGCTGAGTAGTATTCCATTGTGTGTATATACCATATCTTCTTTATCCAATCATCAGTTGATGGGCACTTAGGTTGCTCCCACGTCTTGGCTATTGTAAATAATGCTGCA